TATCTCAACCCATGATTGTGACACCATTAGTTTGGTAGGCTCAATGGCCTTTCATTTTGATAATGTGGAAACTGCTAGATAGGATGCATCTGCTTGACCTGCACATATATGTGCTTTGTCCTATGTCCGCATAATCCCCGCTTCCTTAGGAATAGCCATTTAGGGACTGGTTTGCCCAGAAATGGACGCCAACGTTCCCTTTCTTGAAGCTTTCAAGCTTGTACTTTCCTAGGGAGATCAGCGCCAGCTGGGCTTTCTTTGGAGGCAGCTCACGGGCGCTGCAGACGGATTTGGAATTCCAACCAGCCAGATCGTCATCTCTGAGAAGCTGCGAGCAGTAAAACAAGGTAAAATATCTTCATCGCACCCTCTAGCGCAATGGGGAAAATTTTCAGTTGAAGCCCGTAACAAATACTACTTGGCAGAAACCGATTGTTCACCGGCCGAAATGCTCGCGGGCGATATGAACCGAGAGCGTGGAACGTTTGTGCTCCGGATCTGACCGGCCACCGCTAATTGAGCACAACCGTTGTCTTTGTGTTGAGTGGATGACGTTCTAGTGTGTTGAGGCGATAACATGGCTCAGATCGAGGATCGCCATTGCAAGGAATTGTCCTTTCTTCCGTCATCCTTGAAGCACCTGGTCAGAATTTAAATATGACCACAAGCCCGGTCAGGAGGCCTGCCGGTTCTTCCTATCTGAATTGCTTGGTTATTAACATTAACTATTTATCAACCCCAGTTGATACCAGAGATGGAAAAAGGTGATGCTGTGACGGGGAACATTTGCGTTGAGAGCTTTATCATTCCACATTTCAATATTTGTATATCGTTATTGTAGGGATGTACTCTGAATAGTACATACGTACATACATGTAATACCGTGGTCCTGCGTACGCTTTCTGCCAAGTAAGACTGGAAATTTGATTTGACGGGTTGAGAATTTCGAACGCAACCGGTCTATGGGATTGGTGTTTCTTTAAGCCACGTAAGGTATTGTACGGGGAAAGAGCAGGGAGATATAACGGCTCCCTTTGTCCCTCCTCGGGATCTCTGAAAAATCGGCGGCCACATGTCGTGAACGAAGAGGTACGAAGCATATGCACTCCGTATGTATGTATGGACATACATTTGTTTGAACGCCTGGAGGCCTGAATAAGACCATGATTGAAGGTATTTATGTATCTGAAGTAACGGGTAAACATATATAAGATTCAACCAATCTCACTTGTCGCCGTCACGCATTGGTTGCAGTTCCGTCATTTTGAAAATACGGTGAGCTGTGGAAAAGCACCGGTACGGGTACCCAACTCCACATGGACGGAGTATGAGAGCGGCCAACACATTACTTTCCGGGGGCTGACATACCAGATGCATATGCGTATTGTGTGCATACATTAACTGGTTGCTGCAAGTCACCCTGTGGCAAGGCTGGAGAGCCGTCACACGGTGCGGTAACCGCATTTTGCGGGGTTCGGGGTCTTCCCTTGCGTAGGACACGAAGCAGTCGCGATGTCCTCGATGTATCCAGCACAGAGTTTATCATTTAAATTCATCTCAGATACGAGGCTCTTTCGTTTCAAGAACAGGATTTTAGTGTGCCGTATGATGAGATGGCTTTTTGGCCCTGACAAGTCTCATCGATACTTTCCTTTGAGTTTCCAAAAAAAAAGTATGCTGCAATGTCGCTTCAATCGCGGAACTATCCGCCGTTGAAACCAGCGACGCGGTGTCGACGAAAACACATGATCAGGGCCTGCGTGGGGCCGGGTTTGTTTGATGGAATCCAATCACGGATCTCTATTCTAAGAAGATCGACATGGAATTTCCTAAACAGGATTGATCTGACAATCTGTACTCAGGGAACGCTGATATCGTATCAGTGAAATGGAGACAGGACCAGCGCCAGACTCAAAGGAACGGAGGATATCTGCTTAAAACAAAGCGATCAGCAGACAGCTGTATCAGTGAGAAGGAATGCAATTTCTTTAGCCCAAACATGTTACTAAGAGTCTGGGCTTTGACTGTGTCTCGGCGAGCCCCAGGGACGAAATGCGTGGCCAGTGACTTAACAGGCTAGCTCCTCCGTACCAAGGGAGCAATTCTCGCCGCGGGGCCCGCGACTCCCTCACAAATTCAATCTATCTCCGAAGCTTGGGCTGAAACAAGCCCATCCGCGTTAGAGATCCGTCTGCCATCCAGAAAGCCCTGCCTCGTTGGACTTTGGGGCCTGGAATGCTTCGAGAAAGGCTGCGGGGAGCGCTTCGAGAATTGAGACTGGCCGTCCCTTTTGCAAGGCGAGGCGAGCATTCGGCCCCACATCCCTGTTCCGTTCCAGCAGTTTCCTCCATGATAATTCTGTAGTGACGACGAAGCTTATAAAATGGAGAATCAATTTTCCGCTGGCGCCAAAGACGTGTCGAGGTACGGAGTCGACGGAGGATGGAGGACTATCTTTCGAGACCGACGGAATGAAAGGGAGTCTCTTGCGCTTTATGCAGTGCGCCATTGGGGAGGTATGACATGGCTTGATACTAAATCTGGGCAATGGCAGCGGTCAGGATGTCCACCAATTCCAGACTCTTCTGCATGGCATTGCGTCGAAAAAGCATTGATCTCGAAATTTGGAGCTTTGGTGAGTAAAACTTCGAGGTAGGCATTCAGGCTCGTTTCCCGCCAACCAAGTGCGATGTTCCATTACTAAGTAATAGTATTACGGAACACCAGTAATCTCATATTACCACCTGGTTACGGAAGCATAGTTTACATACGGTAACTCTGCTTCCGCGATTCCGAACCTGGAAGGTAAGTATCTTGTACGAAGTGCATACTTACTAATGTTGCATCCTGGATACCATAAGGTGGGCAAGAAATAGGACCGCTGGAGATCTCACTTCGACAATTGGAGTCGAGACCAGTTACGGCAGATTGAACTTGAACTGGAGTTTGCACTCGTACATCGCTGTATCCATCCTAACTTTCAGAGGCGGCCTAGACAATTTATGTGACTTTTGGCCCTGGAGCCTGGAGAAGTCGACTATTGAAGGGGAGTATGCTTCGATCGGGGGTGACTGACCATTCCGGCTGCTTACGTGCCTAAACTCTTTGAGCATCCCGGGGGCGGTAACAAGGCATTGGTTTGTCCTCTCAGGCAGAATTCACGAGCTTCATCTGAACTGACTGACGCCCACCAAGAATTATATAAGACGAAATTCTACTTCGTAGTTACGTCCGAAAATAGACGCTCAAAATGGTACAAATTGCTGGACAGATATGCTGACGCCCCGGAACGGAGCGCTTCCCTTTCCCAATCGGGCACTTTGATACGCGTTGCACCATGCCAATGCAAATGGGGCCGTATGACGCCCATTCGCCTTACAATATTCCGAAATGGAAAGTCGAGTTATTCAGCGGCTAGCTCATGTGGTTTGGCAGGAGCCAATTTATGGACAGCGGGGAATATCCAGCGTGCCCAGAGGATGCTTTTGGTACTGGTGAAATGTGTTTGGTGATGTGTTCGTGACCATGGCATGGGAAACTCAGTGAGATGCTACAACTGGTCAAATTGCGATCGAGGAGTGTTTGGAGGAAGCTGCGCCCGAAACTTGTAAGACCGCTCTCTTAAATCCTTTTGGTGGCTCAAAGCCACGTTGTTTGCCTGGAACTTTGCCAATTTCATTTCTTTGGGAATTACACCTTCATTCTCTTCTCAACCCAAGGAGGCCTGATCGCCTTGTATCTCAAGCATATTATTCTGGCTCAGGAGTATACTGATCGAAATATACACTTCATCGATCCATAGTGTTGTATTTTTTCGTGCAGCAAGTTTGCTACGTGGGAAAGGATGAATGTACTTCGTGAATGATTCTGAGTACACTTTCGGGCCTGGCTTAACGGCGCGCGAACCGCCTCCCCACGTTTGACAAGGATTGCAGGGTCAGTCGTCAGTGCTTTTATGCGCCATCAGAAATAGGATTGATATTGACCAGGATAAAATTGGAACCAGAGATTCTCAGAGAACGGCGCCTTTGGAGATTAACCTTGTTGGGCCGCTGTCACAGGTGTGATCTTGCGCCAAGCGGATTTCATTCCTCCATGGTTCTGTCGCTGTGCATGACGACGTATGTATCATACCGTAATACATGGTGTGTTTTGAGCGGAGCTCTGTACGGTACTTTCAGTATGAACTAGAGTAATCTTACGGCACATGAATACTGATATTCCGGATTAACATTGCGCAAATTTGACTGACCTCCTTGCATGGCTCTATTGGGCATCACCACGATGGAGGCGCTTGGGGCCGTCGCAGCCGCCACCACTTCTTCTGATATGGCCTGCTCGAATCTCGTTCTGACGAGAAATATGGCGAGATTTCAAAAGGTCATGCTGGTCATGGCAGTGACTTAGTCCGCTTTCCAGCGTTCCGTCAGCGCCAACATGAGATGTTGCCTTCTAGCGATGGTTAACTAACTCGGAGTCCCTGAGTCGCGATTCGTCCAATTCCCGGCAGTCAAGTTACGAGCCGACGACGATTTCGATGTTCTTCCGTACAGGATCCCATCGCCGTTACGACAGCTTATTAGTATTAACTTTGAAAGTGGACCATTCAGGAGACTGTGTCGAATCGACTCCGTCAGGATTCTCTGGAGTTGGGACAACTTTGGACTATTATTACTGCAAAACAGCCTGGAACAAGGGAAAAAAAGAAGCGGCGGGCTGTGCAACAAATTGATTCGCCCAATTGGGCCTGCGAGTCTGGCACCCTTGATCCCCTCCGTGATCCACTAGCATTTGAATCCGACCATTCTCACGGGTGCTCGACTTTCGCCGGTTAGCGTGTGACCTGAGATGGAGAATCTGATCCAAATCCCACACTAGTTAACTTCTGCCCCCCATCTCTCGTAGTATCCCCATCAACAAGTAATCCGTGGGTCCCCGTTCCATTAACCTGTTTTCACCAACGCTTAGCTTGCTGTTGTGGAGCTCGTGGCCGACAGAAGCGTGGAGCATGTTTTGCTCTGTCAGGCCTTTCGGATGACTCCAATGTCAGGGTTCTCCTATATACTTTACGAATCGTTCTTGGGACTGGAAGCTTGACTGTGATCACTCTTATATTTCTTTTCTTCCGGTGAAGCATAGCCTCCATGTTATCCTATTCAATCCCTCCACCTTGAAACATCCTCTGTGGCCATCCCTCACTCAAAGTTGGTTCTCAATCTTATATCCCTTTGGATCACCCAAATTTTCGTCCATTACTTCAACATTCTTTCAATCCGTCAACGTGGCTGCCCTTGGAGTATCTCAGCTGTGTCGTTTGACTGATTGTTCACGGCAGACGCGCATACCGACTTGTGATTCGAAACCAATTTCATTGGCTGATCTCCTTCCAGGAGGTTCTCCCTCCCTCTCTCAACTTCGACTGCTCGAGGTGCATAGCCTTTCAGAGAGAGGGAAGGACCACCCATGCCCAGAGACGCGGCTCTCCAGAGGAGACCAGGAGCTTATGTCGAAGCGGTCGCATGTGCCAGATATCCCCGATCAGAGTTCGCCGACTGAAGGTTCCAGCCAGCTCCAGCATGAGCCAGAAAGATTCCCTTCCACGGCCGGTGATACTACTCCTGTTCATGCAGGATCTCGCTCAATCGCAGTGGATTCAATTCTGAATCCGCCCGCAAATCCAACTCTCGAATCACCCTCTCACCAAGGCAGCAATGGCCCACTAGAGTCCCCCGTTTCTTCGACATCCCCCTCTCCCTCCCCGTCTCCAGTTGTGCCACTTTCCCAAACGGACCCCGCGCGCTTTCGACTCGACAGATCCGTGTCTCCAAGGCTCCATCAACGACGAATATTGACCCCTCGATCCCCCGCTTCTCGTGCTGCGAGCTTGGGAACCAGATTTGCTTCATACCCAGGAACCATGGATGTAACCCAATTCCCTTTCATCCAGTCTCCGCCTCCACAAAGCGGTGCAACTTTACCGGGCAGTTATAGTCACCCTCAATCCTCCTTTCTCCCTGAACAGCGAACAACTCTTCCACCTTCACAAGATACTGCCCCAAGCACTCCACATTCTTCTTACAGCCCCTTCCAGCAGGCGTCGCCAGCGCATATGCTGCAACAGCCTTTACCACTGTCCCAAGTGGGACTGCCTCCATTTATAGCTCATCAGATGGCAATGCAAAGCACTCAGGGGCTGATACCAGTGACCATTGACATGGATTCTGGTTCAAAAAAAGCGTCCGACAAGCGGAAGAAAAACAGCCACGCCTCAAGGAGATTCCGCCAAAGGAAAAAGGCAACTGAAAATGAAAAAGCCCGCATCTTAGAAAAACTGCAGGAGGACATGAAATTTTTAAGGCAAGCGGTCGCGTTTTATCGAAGTGAGCGCGATTATTTCCGTGACTACATCAGTAGGATACCGGGTGTGCATATCCCTCCTCGTCCTGCTTCTCCTCAATTTCCGGAGCAGGCCCCGGTAATTCTTACTCAGGCATCTGAATCAGAGTCAGATGGTCGGGTAACGTCTCGTCGCAATGTCCGGTCGCGAACCGGTCCTCCATCTTCGGGAGTGTCATTGCCGACTACTCTTCAACCACTACCATTTAATCTTCCAGGCTATCAATCCGCTCAGCAGTCCCCATGGCCCCCGTCATCCGCAACGACTCCCGAGGCTTCACAGCAATTTCAACCACCTTTCCACGCTCCTTATCGTGCTCACCCTCCCGCATCACCGCAGAGCCATGACGCCATGTTTACCCATCAACAACAACCTCCAAAAGGGTGACTCCATCGATTTATTTTTATTTGGTTGTATTGACTGCCTTTATTGCATATTTCGGATTGGATTGGCTTATTCGAATACCTCGAAGAATTTAATTTGAGGTCGACTTCGACCCGAGTGTGCAGGCGTCGATTAGGCAATGCTCGTAATCTACGTCTTACTCTCCTATTGTTTTATAATGCGTGATCATGGAAGACCAATTTCATTCTTCAACACACCCTTTGCGTTTCTTTGCATCCTCCGTATTCTATCGTTACTATTTGTTCTGGCTGGGGACCACAAACCCCGTCCAAATGTCTGGTTTGTATTTTTACCTCAAGATACCCTGGGTGGCACGAGTTCTTCGCTATGCTTCCTTGAAAGTTTATTCTTTGCCCCGTAGCATAATCATTTTCCTTATTCCACATTTTGTCATTTATCCTGCCGGTTGCACCATTGCTATCTGTGTTCGATTTCCATTTCCTTGGTCTCTCTAAGTTTTGCTACCCTTTGCTTGTTTTCGTTATATAAGCCTTCGGATTGCTTATGCAAATAAATACGTTTTACTAAGGTTAAGATGTGTCGCGAGTCATAGCGAGATGCCCGGATATTACTATCGGTGCGTTTGGTGCTCTGGAGTTTGTTGACTCCCTCCGATGAGAAGTGTGGGACACCGCTTTTGCACTGCCATGCCAAGGTGTGGCATGAAATTTTTCATGCTCCTTTCTTTCCAAGGGTGCCTCTATGCCTTCTGTGGTTTGGGGAGTGGGGGGGTGGGTGTTCTTTTTGGCTGTATAGTTTGACCAGATTGAAAATAATTTCAGTGATTTTGGACATATCTCATGTACCTACTCCGTATAATACATACGGATACTTCGAATCAACAAAGAAATATTCGAAGTAAGAAATTTCCAAGGCAGAGAAGAGCAATGAGGCTGAAGAGATCGCAATCAAAAGAACATATCACATATTCGAAACGGACACGTCCACATGGTTAGCATGTACGGTGTCTCAAGAAAGAATCGGTCCAAAGAGGCCCTCCAGGTCTTTATGACATATCAACATAAGTGCGCGGATGTTACTGGAGGAAAGAGAATCCACACCAGTTTTACTGCAGAAATTCAACTGTTTACCAGAGTAGGAAACAATGTGATGCGCAAGTGGGATAGTAGTTTTGTGACCGGTCACATCTCCACTCTGGGCCCCTTTCAAGCATGGCTTGCTTTTGCCCAGGAACCCAATCATCCTTCGGATTAACCACCCGCGATCTGGTTCCATGATCCAGAGATTCGGGCCGCAGATGTCAACGGTCACGTGAGCAACCGGTCTGAAAGTACGGAATGCCAAGCGGCTCACCAGGTTTGGGGCTGTAAATTAGGCTGTTCCCGGTATTTTAAATTACGCAGGTGCTGGTAGCCAATCAAGGGCGCGGAAAAAGAAGCTTAATCCCGGATGACTTTCGAACCTTATTTTCAGCACGCTTCGACGGAGAAATGATATTCCTCAACCCACCCCCTGAGCCCCTGTCTTCGAATGTAATACGCTACCGCCTTAGGTGGGAATATGGACAACGCCTCTCAGACTCAGAAGCAATGGCGATGTGTGTCTGATGGTTATCATTATCGAGATATCCAATGGACGCTTGTGAGTTGAAGATGGGGGATGCAGTACGTCGATTTCATCTGTAATTTGAGCCACATTGTCTTTTGTTACCCGTCTCTTGTTCGGGGGCTGATTAGAATTGCTGAGAATCCAGCAATAGCCAAGGTCGGGCTATGTTTTGCAGTTTGACGAGAAGATATCCGGACAGAGAATGGTTCGGATGGGCTTATGACATACATGCGCCCTCTCCGAACTCCTATTCGATCGAAAGCACAGACCAGACGGGAAATATGCAAGTCTGAAACCATGCATGGGTCGACGAACGCAATGTAAACTGATTGCGCTACGGAGTGCTGTGTACAGAGCTTGCTGTCTAGTGGGACAGTCGAATTCCAGATTACTCTTTGAAGCGGTTCGGCTGTGGAGTTTGTGGAAATGGGCCTGGACCTTCCAGAAGCTTCCTAGTCCTTTTTTTGGCCGACGTGCTCCGTACTCCGTACATATTTACGACGCTTTGGAATGCCACGCGCCGTGATTATGTCGGGAACTTTGATCATTCTTTAGAAAGTTCCCGCATGGGGGCGAACGACACGGTATTCGCGGAACTAATGGAGGCACTCGACTTCCAGCCCGTGCGACTCGAAGCCGTTAAAAGTGTGTCATAGACATTGGTACTGGTCTCGCATTTTCCAAGCTACACGTGGAATTTGCAAGGAACGATGAGTCGCATGGCCCTGCAAATCTTTACCCCTCTTTGTAGACTTTCATGGAGTATATACGCCGTATGGTTTATTCAATGGTTTAACTGTTCATTTTGCCCCCATATATACCAAGATCATTGAACCTATGTGAAGTGTACTGTGGTGAAACGAGTTTGATAAATAGATTGACCTTATGTCAGGTCCACAACGATGCCCATTTCTCTTTGACATGAGTGACGTATTCCCAAATCACGTTGCCTCTGTGCATCGGACATAGTTACACTGCGCTCTAGATACCTTGGGCAACGCTAACGCTGCAGAAGGAGATCTGGCTCTGCGAATGTATTCGGTGTCCTCCGCTCATGCATATAGACCATGCGATGCAAATCATAGTTCTTTACACCTGCCACAAGTTCACAGCGACCCTATTTGGAACGAGATATCTCATTTCCGGGCTGCTACAATGCAACAAAACAAAAACTGGGAGCAAAGTTACTGTTTATCTTTCCCATCTGCCTCTTTAGTCCAGTTCAATTCCTGTTTCATTCTGCAACCTGTTCAGCACTCATCTGGGTTAGCTTGGCCGTGCATTCAATTCACGTCCAATATGGAGATAATGACTTGATTGCATTGCATTTAGATCACATCGATAACTAGTATCACTTTCTCTGGTCACTAACTGTTGGAGCCGAGCCATTACCCGCGAAATTGCATGAGAATTGCGGGTGTTGGCTGCCACGGGCGGATCACAAAATGTGACTCTCAAGTGACAGAGCAGGCTTTCTGCATTGTGAAGCTTGAATAATCTTTCACATTGAGAGAGATATACTACAACTGTTATCGGAAGCTCACTGTCCAGTGTAACGGGACCACATTTAAACGCTACTTCCCCGAATACAACTATAGCAGCTAGGTTTTAACTGATGGACAATAGGTCTTTGAGGATATCCATGGACTTTTCTTTCATATTTTATTAGGAATGTTCCATGTTTAATAGTACAATCTGCCAGGGCTAACCATAACGAAGCTGTGTTGTTCCTATTGCTGTTCTTCATTGCCAGTGATAGGCTTTGCTTGCTTGAGGCAATGTTATATGACACTGAACCGCATATCTACAGGGATACTTGGACTTTTACGTTGTACGTATCTTGAAAATGCTTTGTGCTATTGATCTGTCCGTCAAATGTCTGACATCTCCTGGGAATTCAGGCACAACTTTGTTCTTGTTCTGGAAACATGTTTCTAGAGCCAGAGTATTTGAAGACAGGTGTTCAGCATGCCATATTGTGTCTACACCGCAAATATTAGCCTGGTCTAATGCGAAGGACTTTCTAGTCCTTTGAATTGAAATTATTTTTCTTAGATGTTGAATTTGGGCTCCTAGGGCCCGAGACCACACAATTCCCGGTCTCATATATCCAATATTGTTGCTTGCATTATTTTGTGTGCCGTGTCGTACATATTTGGCTACATTGACATGCATGCCGTGTTTGCTATCCTGAATTCGACTGCCACCTGTCATCTAGGGCCAGCGAGTATGACCCATAGCCTGATGGGAACCCGAAATTTTGCCGGTTCTCGATACCTTTGCTTAACTATCTTTTGTGGCATCCCGTGAAACAGCTCATCCGAACTTGAGAACAACGTGCAAGGGAGAGGAAGATCAGAGAGAACCTTCCAGTTTATATATCGCAATATAAAAACGGTCTAATCTCCCGAATCATATGCCGGCGTTGAGAGGCACTCCAGTGCAGCACCCCGAGATCTCGCATAGTCAGCTCTCTTTATTAAGCTATCATAACATTCCGTTTGATCTTCTCAAAATGAAGTCCCTCGCTATTGGTTGTCTTCTCGCAATCGGTGCGAATGGCTTGTACATCAAATCCGGGGCGATCAGGGCCCCGGATCATCTGAGATTGAGATCAGCAAACAGCTCCATCTGCGGCACCCAACTCACCGACAATTTCGAGTTCCCGCATTTGATTGTCCCCGTCAACTCGTCTGCACCCGACACTGCGCTGGGCACCTCATTCAATGGCCAAGTGTCATCGACTATCTCGTCGTTATTTAACTTTGACATCCCCGCGGGCGGCGAGCTCAAGACCTGCTCGCTCGTTTTCCACTTCCCAAGCACGATGCAGCACCCATCCAACTACTACACTTTCGAAGGGGATGGGAATATTCGCTTCGGTAAGCTCGAGACTCCAGCTCAGGTCACGTCCACGTTCAACAATGCACCGCCGGTGCGTGAGGATTATGGGAGCTTTGCCATGCAGCCTGGAGATGCGTATAGTATTGCGAATTTCCAGTGTCCGATGGGAGAGAAGATTGCGTTTCAAATGTCAAATGCTGGCTCGACGGTTCTGAGCTACTTCCAAAATTATGGAGACCCTCCGTAAGTTTGCATGGATGGATCAAGGCGGAATTTTTGTATAGCTAACGAAAAGCGAATAGATTCGGCCTCTTCATCACCCGCTGCACTGGCCAGTAGAGTTGGGTGCTTAGGTAGGTGCGCTCTTGCAAGGAGCTGGGGAATATACAATAGTAGTCCGGCTGATTTGTTGCTGGGGTTCCGAGATGGCGAGAAGGGCTGTTTGGAAATCCGAATCAGGGAGAATGCTAGATTTTCGGATCTCTGGAAAGTTGAGCTTGTGTAGTCTCTTCTTTTTCTTAAAAAAATTTCTTTTCTTTAAAAAATAATTAAAAAAAAAAAAAAAAGAAAAAGAAAAAGAAAGAAATAAAAGGGCAGGACCTGTTTATGGCCATGTTTTGGCTATTATTGGGAACTTGATCGTGCAGAGGAATTTTTTTTCAAAAATTTATTTGTTTTATTGAACCGCCTGGTGTTGAGCTCAACATCTTCCGTGCATAGCCCGGAAGAACACCGGATGTCAGGGACTGCAAACTTCAAAGTCAAGATGTAAGGAGACTAGAAAGCACCCTTGCTGGCTAATAACTATTGCGAATTCTACGTGAATGCTGGGGCGTGGATACTTCTGCATACTTGATAGCATAACGGAAGCGAAGCGGTGCGCTTCTCCGGCTGCCACTTGGTCGAGAGCAAGGTCATTATTGAGACACCCATTCTGCCGTGAACCATCAATCTTCGAGGAAATTACCCCGAGGTAACTGAATGGTGTCAGAATGTGCGCGGCCTGCAGCTCCTGTTGGTAGGGCTGGCGTGCAGGGTTCACGGCCGGCCCAGGGTGCTGCCCCGTCGTGTCCTTCGAGGTTGGTATGAGTTCTCCCCAGAAGACGACGAGCTCAAGGCTCAAGGACCTCCCTCCGTAGCGGCGATGTTTTGGAGCCGTTGAACCTACTGACTGTTTCTATATTTGTGACGGCGTCGTCAGTCCATCATCCCGTCAGCGCCAATAAGTTCGGAGTGAGTTTGGGAGCAACCCCAGATGGGAAAACCAGCCACAATTACATAAGGGATCGTCAATGGCTGAATGCTTGGCGGTTACGTGGACTGTGCTGGGCGCCAACTCTGAGCGAGGAGAGAAGCGCATGAAAGGGGAGTCTGGTCGCGAGGTCAAGCAGACTGACGAAAAGACATCGGCCGACGGAGCATGGAGTAGTCGTAAGTAGACAGAGAGGCAGTTCCTCAGCCAGTACGGAGCAGAGAACGGGCCAACGGGTTCGAGGTCTCTCGGTGTGTGGGAGACGCAGCGGCGCTGTCAAGCAGAGTACAGTAACAGCAAATCCAGGGCGCCTCTGACAACGGTTCTGGTCCGTTCTTGGGGTTGATGGGGCGGGCGAGTCCCCGAACCCAGTTAAGGCACAGCCAACCAAGAAGCTAATTTTACCCTCTTGAAACGCTGCAGCACAAGGACTCAACTCTCTTCATCCTGCTCTGTGATATTTTTTTTCTTTTCTCTTTTTTTTTCCCTTTCTTTTGCTTTTTAGTTGTAATAGTTTGCTTGACTTTTGATAGCGAGAACCTTCATTCTTTGAATGCTTGATACTTGACCTGTCTTTCTTTCACATCTCCTTGTCTTTCCCCTTCTTTTCATGAGCCGGACTTTGGTGTTTCACCGTGCGAAAGGATCGAAGTGATGGAGTCCCAGCTCCCAAACAAACTCCCTTTCTCCAAAAAGCCACTTCGCGCCAGGGTGATTATATCGTGAGTGATTCGGCTGGCCTGCTAGGAGCATGTGACCTTACTGACAGCGTGCCCAGGTACATCCTAGACTATGTTATCCTAGTGTGCGTCCCTCTGCTCCTCCGCGAATACACATGTGACCAAATTCCCCATTCGGCGTCGAGGACTAACACCAACAAATCTGTAGTGCCCTTGTCATCGGCTTCTTCATACTCGATAAAGTCGAGCCCCACCATCAGCACTTCTCCCTCCGAAACTACACCCTTCAATATCCCTTCGCCGAACATGAGAGCATCCCGATGTATCTAGCCCTCGCCATCACCGGCGGTGTCCCCATCGTCGTGATAGCAGTATATACGATTGTCATAGATGGGCTGTTTTCGCACCACAAGCCCACCAATCCTGCCACTGGACGAAGGAAGGTGATGGGGAGGTATCGGCTGAAGGATCGCCTTTGGGAATTGAACTGCGGGATTCTTGGCCTGTTTCTGTCCCAGGCCGCCGCTTTCGTTATCACGAGCGCCCTGAAGAATGCCGCGGGGAAGCCTCGACCGGACTTCATTGATCGTTGTCGCCCACGGCCCGGGAGCGAGGACGCACCAGTTTTTGGGCTGTCGAATTCAACTATCTGCACCCAAACTGACAACGCTATCATGAAAGATGGATTTAGATCCTTCCCTTCTGGTAAGTCAGACAGGACGTTACTCGCGTTAATATACCAGGCTAATCGAGGTTTACTCCATTATAGGACACAGTAGCTGTACGATAATCCTCCCCTAATTGCTCAGTGACCTTACACTGTTCATTTTTCTAACATTTTCCCTTCACTTAGCTGCATTTGCCGGACTCTTTTACCTTTCGCTCTATCTTGCGGGCAAGCTTCATGTTTTGGATAGTCGAGGAGAAGTTTGGAAGACCTTCGTGGTCCTAATGCCCACACTTGGCGCGGGGCTGGTTTCCGTGTCGCGAATCATGGACGCCCGCCACCACCCATTTGACGTGATATCAGGATCGTTGCTGGGCATTTTATGCGCATGGATGTCTTACCGACAGTATTTCCCGTCTATTACGGAGGCATGGAAGAAGGGAAGAGCACATCCCATTCGGACCTGGGGAACTATCCCTCAGCCTCCAGAATTAGTCGAACGACGTCGTTTCGAACTTGACGACGATGATGATGACGAAGCTAAACCCATGGCCCCACGAGACGAGGAGTATCAGGGGGTAACGTCCGCTAGGCCGCCAATGTTTCCTTCACAGCGACGAGAGACTGAGTTTTCAGCCGTCGGCGACAATCCATTCCAACCTCCACGGGCGTACTCAAGACGAAGACGTGATGACGTAGATCCTAACTACTCGTCATCTAGTGGTGATTCACATGGCGGCTACGAGATGCAATCAGCTTACAAGGGAGGAACCCAAGCAAGCGAATCCCAAGAGCGTTTGGATTCGGGCCGTCCCACAGATATCGCCTTTCATTCATCGTCCCAACGAAGGCCGTCGTCGCCCAGCCCACTCCGTCGATGATGGCATATTATATTTGCTTATATTTCGTTCCATCTTTGGGAAATGAGTTCAGAGATAATTCGGCAGCTGGAGTTTTTATTGTCAGGCGCTTCTTCTTGCTTATTTTCACACTGCAATTTTCGGCTTAAGGTTTCGTGGGCTGGGAAATTGGGAATTTTGTGTCTCTTTTTTGAGCATTATGATGCACGAAGCCTTGATCTTGCAAAGTCTAACCTTATTACTGTATGTACGCCAAAGCATAGGTTGAATTTTCTTTTTTTGAATCACAAGCATCAGGTATTGGGTGAAAGCTCTTTGTTGTATGACTTTTGGAATATTAAGCTGAGGATAACTCTGTCGATGTTTCTATGGACACTATGTTCACCTCTCAAGACCTTGTTGACTGGTTGATGAGCAGCACATTGCTATGGGTGTGTTGTAAACTTTTTCCCTTATGACCAGTGTTGAAGCGCTTTTGAATCAAGCCCTAGACTTAAATTTCTATCTATGAGGCATGACGCATATACCCAGAAGATTGAAATTGGACGGCTGCATCACTGTCTGGACGCCGTACTCTGTATTCTGTACCCCGTACGGAGTACGCGTGTAGCTTAACGCTTGACATGCTGGGGGATCAGCATACTATTTCGCGTGGGGAGGGGGTCCTTGATTGGTTTCAGTTGGATTAACGCCCGAGCCCTACGGAGTACGACGCTGGTTCCTGCAAGCAATGACGCCGATGGCCATCCACACCTTTGCCGACAGCGAAGCTGGCGGCCCTCTTTGGCCTCATGATTGGGTGTTTTGCCAAAGGGCCAAGCCGTACTAGTGGCATCTTGTCCATCCATCCCCGCCATCGTATTTTCTTTTTTGTTCTCCCAGCCTCCCACACAATGTCTTTCCCCCCCGGCCTTATGAAGTCACGGCTGGACAGATATGAACTGCTGTCAAAATTATATTTGTCTTGCTGCAAGTCATCTTCCTTTATCACTGTTTAACTGGGTGTTTGGGGTTTGTTGACAGCAGAAGTGAGCTGTTGCTAGGACAGTTTTTGTTCACTGATTGTTCCCCACTGTGACGTTGCACACAGAAGACAGAGGTCTTGTTGCCGTTCTTCCTTCGCCCCGGAGCTGAAAGAACTTATTCTGCGAAAACAACATTTAGCCATTGCTATGAAGTACTGTGTTCTTTGAATATTAATTACAAGGGTCAAGTGTTTTGCATTGCTTCTGCTGCAGTCAGTGAGTGGCTTTGAGCCACTGTCCAACATCCTCTCACGCGAGATAACCATTTGCGCCTGAACCTCGAGAAGTGATATCAATTCTGTCACATTGCACGCTCCTACTATAGCCATGTTTTCCGGACTCTTTTTCATCTGTTGGAGGGCAGGGCAGCTGGTCACTCTCATCCCGCCCTTGGGCATGCTGGTATGTCCAAGAGGATGTGTCGTTACTTGACTTTTCCCATTCTTACTGACATGATTTTATCACCAAAGTCCTGGTTCATCGATGGCTTCGTAAAGGCCAACATGCTCACCCCAACCTACATCCTCGTGCTATTCATCGTCACCGTGCTTGCTTCCGTATGGGCAGTCGAAACGCTCGTCCGCTACAGTAGCACCAAACGATCCGCGATATTCGTCTCCTTCGTCGACATCTGCTTCTTCGGCTCCTTCGTTGCAAGTGTTTATCTTCTCCGGGGCATTGCTGTCGAAAACTGTAACAGCTTTACCCGCAGCCAATTCCTTCAGTCCCTAGGACCATTTGGGTTCTGGGGCCAGCGGACAAATAATCCTCTTAGCCAAGACCCAACGAAAGTCTGTTCGATGCTGAAGGCTTCCTTTGCGTTTGCTATTCTGAACACGATGTCGTTCTTTTTCACGGCCATTTTCGCGTATTTCTTGTGGCAGCATGAGACTAAGCATCAGGGAGAGAAGAGATCGCGCCGGCATAGCCATTCCAGCAGACGGAGCCAGCATCGCCATCGAAGCAGCTCTGGTCGACGGGGTGATTATCATGTTTGATTTCGGTGTTTTCCTTTTCTTTTCTAATATGGTAATGGCTCTTCCCGCCCCGAAGATAATATTGGGAAGATCTTATCTCACGACGGTGCACAGTAATCTCTTTTTGAAGGCCTTGCCGAGATGATTCCATGCTAATTCTCCGGAAGGCTAGGACTCGGGATATCCGTGACATGATTTGATGACTTATGCGTTTCCTTTTGCAATAGCCCTTCAGCTATGTTTACGACTTTAATGATCTCTTTTTATGTATAGATGCCCTGTATGTATGATCACATGGATGGATTACACTGTCATCTCTTTTTCCCTGCTCTGATAATTGCTCTAAAACTGGGTGTGAATCCCCTGATCAATGAATGCTGCATGTCCGTAAATGGTGGCTTACTCAACTGCTCATACCCGGGTTCGGATGATCAGTGCTAGGCATTAGCTTTCTCGTAACGTCTTTCAAGCCATTTCTGTGCTTCACTGTCAATCTTTGCCTGTGTCAAAGATAACCAGGCTCTGGATTGTGCCAGCCTTCAAAGAATTGAGGCTGGACCTCCTAAATGTTGCGCTGTTCTTATGTTTGTTAGCATGTTCATTCTACTTTTCTTCAACCCAACATGTGCGGTTGCAAGGGGCAGGAGTGCACTTGCCAGTGATTGCTTGTGACTATCAATGCGACAGTGATATTTAGATATATCATCCTCCGTGTGCTTGCGGACTAATAAAGCTGATTGAAAATATTTGCTGTGTTTTTTTTTGGGGGGGGGGGGGGGGTGTGCTGTTCTTTGTGCAAGCAAACCACCCAAGGCCAACAAGTTTTTCTGAGAAAATCCATTTTGTTCTGCATGGTTAACATAACTATCAAGGAAATATCTACAGATCAGAAATAAGAATTAACCCATAGATATTCTATATTAGCGTATTCACTGCAATATAATGTTTTGATAGATCAGAGAGTTGCTTCATAAGACTTGTTATGGTATAATATATGGATAGGCCGCACGCGCGGTGCACTGGCAGGGCCAGCGAGTACATCACCTTGGCCGAGAGGCCTGCGTTAATCTTGTTAAAACACCCCCCCCCCCCCCCCCCCCCCAACTTTATCCAGATAAGTATGCAAGCTAAACCAAAATAGGAAATTACGTGTACCGCGCCAAGCATACCCTGAACTCCGTGCAAGTTAAAATTGATAGGCTTGATTCGAATCGATATCGTACCGAGTTCTGTGTTCCAAGAGAGTAAATATCATCCCCAGCACAACTCTTTAATACCCTACATTTTAACTGCAAGCTGGCCTTGGGTTGCTCTGACAGCGGCGACCTGAATAATGCCCCACTTTCCAGGTTGCCGGGAGTTGAGCTAGTGTGATATAAGTTTCGCCATCTTGTACTCTGTACTAACCAAAGCACCTTGGTTCACTTTTCAGCATACCTCAGAAGAAAACATATCTCTGATGACCTCACTTTTTGAATGGCCACCTGCCCTCTTGCAAAGAATCCAAGTTAGTCGATGACTTGCGATACTACGCCCCCCGCTGCCTGGTGAGCTAGGATGCAGATTCAACCTGGAGGACGCGGGCACTGCGCTGCTTCCCTCGGGGGCCTTTTGCGTCTAATCAGCTCCGGAATACCTTTATAATGGAGGGCTTCGTGGTGCTTTTGGGGATATTCTTGTATGTTCACCTTCTTTGGACCCACCCGCAGTGTTCTTTTTTTTTTTTTTTTTAATTTTTTTGTATGACCGGCTAGGATTTACAATTTAACCTTGTTGCCTTTATAGATTGTGGCTAGGGAAGATGTCGTTGTCGACACTCTTGAGAATTTCTAGACTTAGGAAAGAAAGACATGATGCGTCATTTTTGAAGACAAGTGAGAAATCGTCTAGCAAGCAGAAGACGGTAGACGCCGGTGCCGTGGATGGCGAGAGTGCGGAAAACCTCTACCCGGAAAACGTGGAGACGATACGGAGTCGTGAGTTTCCTCTGCTAAAAAGTGAGCATCTCCATAATCCATCAGGGCTGGTAGAATGGCGATGATTACTGATTGTACCGGTGGCTTTATAGGCACGACTTATCTCGACCATGGAGGTGCAACGCTATATGCAAAAAGCCTCATCGATGACTTTTCACGGGAGATGACCTCCCACATTTTCGGGAACCCGCACTCTGCGTCTTCTTCTTCTCAGCTGTCTACTCAGCGGGTAGACGATGCACGGCTAAGGTTGTTACAGTTCTTTAACGCAAGCCCGGACGATTTTGATATTGTCTTTGTCGCCAATGCTACTGCAGGCATCAAACTCGTTACAGAGGCTTTGCGGGACTATGACCAAAGGGGTTTTTGGTATGGGTATCATCTGGATTCGCATACCAGTCTGGTTGGACCGCGAAATGTTGCGACTCGAGGAAGCAGGTGCTTCCTTGACTCCAATGGCGTACAAGAGTGGATTGATGGTCTGGGTGCTTCGCCGAGCGGACAGGAGGAGAAACCATACCCCAAGCTGTTCGCATATCCCGCCCAGTCAAACATGACTGGATCGCGTTTGGGTCTTGAATGGTGCAAATCCATTCGAGCGAAGACAGGGGGAAAGCAGAATGTCTTTACTTTATATGATGCGGCAGCCCATGTTTCCAGTTCGCCATTGGATCTGAGTGACTCGGATTCGGCTCCCGATTTCACCGTGTTGAGCCTCTACAAGATATTTGGGTTTCCGGACATCGGCGTTCTTATCGTTCGCAAGGCGGCAAGACATACCTTTGAAAAGAGAACCTATTTTGGTGGAGGTACGGTCGGAATGGTCATCACTCTCGGAGAGGAATGGCATGCCAAACGAAACGATGCCGTCCATGACGGACTCGAGGATGGAACGCTACCTTTCCACAGTATCGTGGCGGTACATTCTGCGCTTGATGTACATAAGCGACTTTATGGTTCAATGCGAAATGTGTCTTGGCACACTGCCGCACTAGCGAAGAATTTATACTGTCGCCTCGAAGGTTTGAGACATTCCAACGGAGAAAAGGTCTGTGAAATATATAAATCGTCGTATTCTACATATGGCGATCCAGCTACACAGGGACCGGTGGTCGCATTCAACTTGAAGGATAGTCGTGGGTCGTGGGTAGGGAGTTCGGACGTTGAGAAACTCGCCGCCGTCAAAGACATTCATATTCGCTCCGGAGGTCTTTGCAACCCTGGCGGAATAGCATCATATCTTCATTTTAACCCCGAAGAGATGAAGAGAAACTATACCTCTGGCTTGCGCTGTGGCGATGAAACTGATTTGATGGGCGAAAAGCCGTCTGGAGCAATACGAGTTAGTCTCGGTGCGATGAGCAGTATGCGAGATATCGATACCTTTGTTAATTTTATTTCCGACTTCTATGTCGAAAAAGAAACGCGTACGTCTCTGCCCGAAGCCCCGGTCCCATCGAGCCCCCTGAATCCAGAGTTTTATATTGAACAAATTTACGTTTATCCGATTAAGAGCTGCGGAGCACTTGTCATTCCTGAGGGTGAACAATGGGAGGTCAAGCCAGAGGGCCTCGCATGGGATAGGGAGTGGTGCCTTATACATTTGGGGACAAACACAGCGCTTAATCAAAAGAAGTATCCCAGGATGGCTCTCATCCGCCCCATTATTGATTTCAAGAAAGGCTTCTTGCGAATTACTTGTGGAACCACTGAATCCGAGGACCGGAACTCAATCGAAATACCCCTATTCCCTGACGATACGAAGGGGCAAACAGCTATTCAGATGCAGCAGAATGCGAAGGCAGCGACGGTTTGTGGAGATACCGTCACCGTACGGGTATACTCGACTCCAACTGTAACAGCTTTCTTTTCGGATTTCCTCTCCACTCCTTGTACTCTCGCTAGACTACCTCCTCAGTCTACAATGCGATATTATAAGCCTCGCCTGCCTGCAACCGAGACGAATAAGCGATCAAGCATTCTGTCGACCACATTTTCCAAGCTCAGACCTTCACTTCACCGAAACCCTATTCTTCTATCAAACGAAAGCCCCATGCTTCTTGTCTCCCGGTCAAGTGTCAATAGACTTAATGAGGAGATAAAGACACGCCAACACAACGCCAAAACAGTACCCTGTAATGTCTTTCGTGCCAATATTATCGTTTCTGAGGACCTGTCCCCTTCGAGAATGGACAGGCGGACCGGCGATAATGAATCCTTGACAGAACATCCTTACATCGAAGACCATTGGTCCGGCTTCCGGATAGGAAATTGGAAGTTCGATGTCCTTTCATCCTGTCAGCGGTGTCAGATGGTGTGTATCGACCAGGATACGGGTGTTCGAAGCGAAGAGCCGTATTCAACGCTTGCGAAGACAAGGAAGATCAATGGAAAGGTGTATTTTGGGCGTCATATCTGTTTGGCTAATGCTTCGTCGGGACGCCAGGGGCTTTGTCCAACCGTGAAGGTTGGGGATAGAGTTGAACCATTTTATGGGAGTTCGTAAGGTCGCATTTCTCTTGAACTTTGTTAATGATATTTATTTTCCTAATTTCTTGCTGCCTATATCTGCTTAGGATTCGGGTAGAGTATTAATTTGCACAGGCCTCATTATTTTCGAAACGCCATGCGGGAGGCTGTGAGGCCTGACTAAAGCTGTTTAGTGGATTTTCAGTTGTTCTTGATATTGTACACATTTGTAGTAGGAATGAGGATAGTAAAGGAGACAGAACGATGTAAGTATATTCAAAAGCTGGCGCCCGTATTCGTACAACCGCCCGATGTGTCGCCCAAAAATGAAACCGTAACGCAGGGTGAAAGGGAAAAATCTTTAACAAAACATAGCATCCGAATTGCTTTGCGTATGCGCCTATTATCGGGGATATTTCTTCCATCCTCTTCCGTGTCCACGCTGTTAAAGGAAGGGTTAGTGTTAGCCTGCTCATATCCTCGCATACACAACCGGGGAACCGAAGCATCAAACATACCTGTTTCCATAATCTTATCATCTCCGGCATCTCCAACATTGCCTTCCTTCTCTCCTCCAACCTGGTCTTCAATGTCCTCTCCCATTTATGACCCTTCACCTTCTGTCCAATACCTGTGCCCTTGATTCGCAAGCCTTTCTCAATCACTCTCGCTTCACGGTATTCCGATGACTTCTTTCCCGGCGGTAATAACTCTTCTACACCATGCTCTCGCGCTAATTTGACCAATTCATTCTGTCTGCGGAGAGATATCACGGCACCTCTCCAGCGGTTGGTCTCTGGGTTCTTATATGGGAGAAAAGGATTTGGATAGTCTGGGTTCGATCGGAGAAGGGAGTCGGTTAGGGAGAATGAGTTTTTGGACGATTCAGCTATCTTGGAGGGCTTGGAGTCCCGAGACGGAGTGTAAGGGCTTGGAGCGGCACCGGGAATAGTTGCATCGGCGGGCGGCGTGGGTTTTGGGATCGCAGCAGCTGAGTAGAATTGGGGAGGATAGCGGGCAAAAAAATTGCGTAGCCTGACAGGTAGTGTCTCCGTGAGACTCGTTACAGCTTGTTTAGTAGCCATTGTGCCTGATCTGCTTTGTCCGTTTCTTCTTTTGTCAAACTTGATTTCAGCGTTTAAGATTTCGGCGGAAATTCTAGATCATGTGACCTCGAATGTTTTGACGTATTTGCACTTGATGGGAGTATCCATTACAACGGGTACCGTAACTTACGAGTTCTGTGTGAGGGCCGGAAATAAAATACGTATTGCCGCGTTTTGTACACTGAACTTGAGGCGCTTGTCCAGCTGCAACCGCTTCCTTTCTTTCAATCTTCCCCTCCTCTTCTCCATCCCCAACCACGCCTTATTCACTTCTCACAGCCTGATAGGCACTGAAGCTTGATTTCTTTCCCTTATATCACACCTAACGTACCTGCCGCCATGGCAGACTTGCACTTTGCTGGTACTGATGAGGAGAACGCCGAACTGAAGAAGCTGAATGCGGAGGTGGTAAGTGAACCTGAGAAGCCGACTCGGGATTCCCATATATTCTCGGGCCATTTACTTATTGCAACAGCTTGAGGATACCGATAATTTCGAGAACTGGGAGAAACTAGTTCGGGCTGCCGAAAGCCAAGAAGGCGGCATTAACCGGAACTCCAGTCCCCAGGCGATCACCACCACGAGAGCAATATACGACAAGTTCTTGGCCAAATTTCCCTTATTATTCGGATACTGGAAAAAATATGCCGACTTGGAGTTTTCTATCGCTGGTACGGAGTCCGCTGAAATGGTTAGTGTCTCTTCTGGTCAACAGTCTGCCTGATGGATGGGGAACTGATGCTGTGGCTTAGGTTTATGAGAGAGGTGTCGCAAGCATCACGAATTCAGTAGACCTTTGGACAAACTACTGTACCTTTAAGGTTGATACCACTCATGATCCAGATGTCATTCGAGAGTAAGTATACACAATGCGTTGGTTTCCCTGCCCCTATAACTATACCAACCATAGTTAGAGAGTCATGATGTGATTGCGAGGACATGTGGTGCAGATTAATATTCATCAAAGGTTCCTCCGTGGGTGAGATAGTCGTCTGCTACCCAGGTTCCTTGGAAACTACTTCTCACCCTTTAATTTCAGGCTGTTATCTCTTTTTCTCATCGTGCCACCCACTAGGCCAGTTCGGAGATAGCTCCTTACTTTTGCGCACGATGATATGAAAGCACCATGATACGTTGCAACAATTCGGCACTTTGATACCTACAGATCCATTCATATGCCATGTTTGCCATCCTTTATCCCCTTTCCACCCCCATCCCCTCCCTCTCTCCCCCTCCCTCCTTTTTGTGTGATCATCGTTCGCTGACAGTTTAATGAACAGGCTCTTTGAGCGTGGTGCCAATTGTGTAGGCCTTGATTTTCTGTCGCACCCTTTCTGGGATAAGTATCTTCAGTTTGAAGAGAACTTAGAGGCTGGCGACAATAGGATATTTGCGATCTTGGGCCGAATCATCCAAATCCCTATGCACCAGTATGCGCGATACTTCGAGACGTATCGTCACTTAGCACAAGCTAGACCCTTGACGGAGCTTGCGCCTCCTGAGACTATCGCTCAATTTAGAGCAGAGGTTGAAGGCGCTGCAGCCGGCATCCCGCCGGGATCTAGAAGTGAAGCAGAGATTGAAAGGGATGTCCGATTGCGCGTAGATGGCTATCACTTGGAAACCTTCACTCGAACACAAACGGAGACCACCAAGCGATGGACTTACGAGTCTGAGATTAAACGTCCTTACTTCCATGTAACGGAACTTGACGATGGACAGTTGGCTAACTGGAGGAAGTACCTTGACTTCGAAGAATCGGAGGGTTCGTATGCAAGAACGCAATTTCTCTATGAGAGATGTCTCGTCACTTGTGCCCACTATGATGAATTTTGGATGCGTTATGCCCGATGGATGTCCGCCCAGGACGGAAAAGAAGAAGAGGTGCGAAATATATACCAACGCGCTAGCACACTCTATGTCCCAATTTCGAGGCCCACTATTCGGTTGCACTACGCCTACTTCGAAGAGATGTGTGGCAGAACCGATATTGCCAAGGATGTCCATAGTGCGATCCTTGTTTCGCTGCCTGGCCATGTGGAAACAATAATATCGTTTGCAAACATGTCACGACGTCACGGAGGATTGGATGCTGCGATTGACGTTTATAAGTCACAGATTGATTCCACCCAGTGCGATATTCAGGCGAAATCTGCATTGGTCGCCGAATGGGCTAAGCTTCTCTGGAAGATTAAGGGAGTACCGGAGGAGGCTCGACAAGTCTTTCAAAACAACCAACATTGGTATCCTGATAGCCGTCCGTTCTGGATGAGTTATTTGACCTTTGAGCTCGAGCAACCAACAAGTGCTGATACGGAAGGTACTCAATACGAAAGGATCAAGCAGGTCATCGAGGATGTCCGCACAAAGAGTAGCCTATCCACACAGGTGGCCAAGGAACTACTTCAGATCTACATGGTCTACCTGTTGGAGCGAGGTTCAAAGGATGCCGCGAAAGAGTACATGGCTCTCGATCGTGAAGTGAACGGACCCCAGTCTGTACAAACGATCATGAAGAATGCAGAAGCTCAGAAAGATAATACTGCTAAACCCACAGCTGTTGAAAACGGTAACCAAACGTCTGCTGAGGTTCCTGTCCAGTCTCCTCTTCAACCTGCCACCCAAGTGCCTGATAATCCTTATAACAAGTACTACCAGCCACCAGTTTCATCTAATGGGGCCGTAAGTTTTTATCTTTGGCTCTACTTTAGGTGACCACCTTGCTGATATTTATATAGGCCATGCCTGTCAAGTATCCGTAGTTATACTGTTCGGTATATTCCACAGTTTCCAAAATTGCTTAGGGGAAGTTAGGTTATTTGGTGTATAGACGAAGCCTACGCGACAGGCATATCATGGAACAATAATGACGGCCTCTGTATATTGGGGATTAGCAGCACGGCTTTCAGTGGGGATGAGTGTACGATGCTCTGCGATCAGGGTGGACAGCGTCTGGCCCTCCTTTTCTGAATTCTCGGCATGTACTCTACTAATTTGTTTGCTTTTATTCATAGCTGTTTTTTGACTGCAATACATAAGATTTATAAAGGTGAAACAATGCTTAGAATAACTTTCGAAATTCAATGGCCTGGAGGTCTATTCCTTTGCAGCCTTGCCCATAAGTGGCTTCGCTTTGGTGTTTGCACCGTTTGCATTAATTAGTCATCATAGTGGCGATAACTAACTAGGTCATGTGATAGCAATCTTTTAGGTAAGTTGCGCGAATCCTTGGCTTATATCAAGCGCGTTGGCTTCGAACGAGACAGCAGTAGGATGTACTTAAGCAATAGCATCATGGATGGCATGTTAACTGAGGGCACCTCTGCGATTCCTCCTCCGCAGCCCCCTCTGGAGCCTATTGAACGTCCTCCAACCCCTCCTCCATTGCCTCCCGACGAATCCGCCCTTCCTCCGCCACCAACGGACCCGGCTCCTCCTCCACCTCCGCCAGATTCCCTTGCTCCGCCCCCGCCGCCGGAAGATGTTCCTAGGTCTACATATACTGTACCGGTGGTGGTAAAGAAGAAGAAAGTAGGATGGGGAAGCTCAAAGTCAACCACACCTTTAAGTGTCGAGGAGCTATTAAGGAAGAAGAAGGAAGCGGATGAAGCAGCTTCAAGGGTACGCTCTTCGTTCTCAAACTTGTATATCCGCTTATTGTATTGCAAAGTTAATTTGATCTTACAGAACTATAGCTAACTGCTTGTACTGCATATATAGCCTAAATTTCTTACAAAATCCCAACGTGAGAAACTTGCAATGGAGAAAAGAGCGAAAGAAATCGAGCATGAGAGACGAATAAGAGCTGCAAGTACGAACGGCAGTATGGTGTCAGATTCTAATGGCGGGGGTGGCAATTCGAATGGCCGTGCTTCGCCGACCACTCGATATGATAATGTGAATGGAAGCTCGACGACCTCAATTCCTACCGCGCCGCGTGCGCTACGAGGAGAAATACCCACGGCCCCGGCTGCCATGCGTAGCTCTCAGGCGAAGAATAATGACCCGCGGCCAGGAAACAAAGTACCGTCCGATTCGGCTGCCACAGGCGAGAAACGAACGGCACCTGAAGATGCTCAGGCCCTGCTCACCAGACAGCGATATATGGGCGCCGACCAAACATCTAGCTTCTCTGCCAAGAAGAAAAGAAGACGTACAACTGAACGAAAGTTCAACTTTGAATGGAATGCGGATGAGGACACTAGCCCTGATTATAACCCGCTGTACCAGAATCGGTCTGAGATGAACTTCTTTGGCCGAGGTCGATTAGCTGGGTTCTCTGACGATGTAGTCGATAGCGCGGCGAAGAGATATGCGAAAGCTCTTGAGGATAGAGACCTGGAGGCAGGTAGCGCAAGAGCACGGGAAATTCTTGAAATGGAAAGACGCAGGAGAGAAGAAGGTGGCCGAAACGGGTTGGATTTGCATTGGAGCCAGAAACGGCTGGATCAGATGCGTGAAAGAGATTGGAGAATTTTCAAAGAAGACTTCAATATTAGCACAAAAGGAGGCAGCATCCCGAATCCTATGCGATCGTGGGGCGAATCCGGTTTACCGAAACGTTTGCTTGAGATCATTGATAAGGTTGGGTACAAAGATCCGTCACCCATCCAGAGAGCAGCTATACCTATTGCGTTGCAAAACCGAGACCTTATCGGAGTTGCGGTTACTGGCTCCGGTAAAACGGCCGCTTTTCTGCTTCCGCTTCTCGTCTACATCGCCGAGTTACCGCGTCTCGACGAGTTCGAATGGAGGAAAAGCGATGGACCTTACGCTATCATATTGGCCCCTACGCGTGAACTGGCGCAGCAAATTGAGAATGAAGCCAGGAAATTTTGTAATCCACTAGGATTCAACGTTGTCAGTATCGTTGGTGGGCACTCCCTAGAAGAGCAGTCTTTCAGTCTCAGGAACGGAGCCGAAATCATCATCGCTACCCCTGGTCGTCTGGTGGATTGTATCGAACGGCGTATCCTTGTTCTCAGCCAGTGTTGCTACGTGATCATGGACGAGGCTGATCGTATGATTGATCTTGGTTTTGAGGAGCCTGTCAACAAAATCCTTGATGCTCTTCCGGTTTCAAACGAGAAGCCCGATACAGAAGAAGCAGAAGACGCGCGCGCTATGAGCCAGCATCTTGGAGGCAAAGATCGCTACAGGCAGACAATGATGTATACTGCAACCATGCCTTCCGCGGTGGAACGTATAGCGAGAAAGTATCTTCGGAGGCCGGCAATTGTCACCATTGGTAATATTGGCGAAGCCGTTGACACCGTCGAGCAACGAGTTGAATTCATCTCTGGTGAGGATAAACGGAAGAAAAGACTGGCAGATATCCTTGCGTCAGGCGAATTCAGACCTCCAATTATTGTCTTCGTTAATATTAAAAGAAATTGCGATGCTGTTGCTCGTGATATTAAACAGATGGGATATTCTTCAGTTACTCTGCATGGTAGCAAGACCCAGGAACAAAGAGAAGCAGCGTTGGCGTCCGTTCGTAATGGGAATACGGACGTGCTTGTCGCTACAGACCTCGCAGGACGTGGTATTGATGTGTCAGACGTTAGTTTGGTGGTTAATTTCAACATGGCGACAAATATTGAGAGTTACACACATCGTATCGGACGAACTGGGCGTGCTGGAAAGAGTGGTGTGGCGATCACGTTCCTTGGGAACGAGGATGCGGATGTCATGTACGTGGAGCTCTTTTGTTCCTTCATTTACAAAGTGATATATTGGTTTTTGAGACTAACAATACTCTACTTCGTAGGTATGATCTTAAACAAATGCTTATGAAGTCCTCGATATCGCGAGTTCCGGAGGAGCTCCGCAAGCATGAGGCGGCTCAGTCCAAGCCTACCAAGGCTGGCGGTGGACAGAAGAGGCTTGACGAGGGCGGCATGTTTGCGCCCAAGACTGGTTCCGGGTGGTAGTGGATTTTTGTCAATGGATTTCAAGCGACCGAATTATGAAGTAGACCTTACTGCATTGGCCTGTACGATTAAAGAAGTACAGTGGTGGAAGACTATTGATCTTTTTTTCTTACTCCCATGGTTTATAACAAGGTTAAGGGCCAAATTCCGGATCAATCCTCGTAGCATACGGTTTATTAAGAGAGCTGGAGGAAAAGAGAATTCGACTTGATTTCATAGCTGTGGCAACTAAGGTAATAGTAAAATTGGCTGTCCCGGGGTAAAACTTTGACGAAAATATAGTTACGAGAAGACTCGAAAAATGTGACAAATATATAGTACAAGATGCTCTTAGTTGAATAGACAATTCGCTCAGCGTACAGGTTAGATCTTGCCTCCAGTGAGTGCCTCCGCAATCTTCTTCGTCCGATCTTGCACCAGATCCCATCTGGAGTTTTCATCATCTTTCCTGTGCACCAACGAACTGACGGCTGGCGGGGGACCCAGATTCCAGACGTTCTCACCAGCTCTCTGGTCGTTCATCCATTCAGGGTTATCTCCAGCAGGGAAAACTCGCTCAATCTCCTCATTTAGCTGCTCTTCAGTGATAATAAAATCGCGAGCATTCATGTACAGTGAGTGAATTGCGTCCATTCTCTCCTCGCTTTTCAATTGCTGTTTCATGGCGACGTTGGCCAAGGACTTCGCAAGCCGGGCTTCGGCATTGGGGTCGGGAAGAATAGGATTCTTCTTTGATACCATGGCCTGCACGATTGTCGCACTGGTCAGGCGCTCGTCCTCTCGTGATGGCTGGTTGAGGACCTGTCTGTTCTGGGCCTGTCGTGCTTTGCTTCGGGCCAAAACCTTGCTTTCCGCTTTTTGTTTTCGCTCGTGTAGCTCGAGGAGACCTTCTCGTAAATTCTTTCGTCGCACTGCTGCCATCCTGCGTTTCCACTCAAGCTGCTCGAACAAAGGGTGGTCATTGTCAACTTTTGGTTTGTTGCTGGCTGGCTCGGGGGTTGCGTTGGCGATGTAAGACTCTGAAGGCTTGTCCGGTCTTCGGGCCGGAAATATTTCACGCGGAACGGGTAGCACACCCTTGGCTCTCTTTTTTCGAGGAAGGTAGGGTTGGATAGTTCGAGGGATGTCGATATAATTGGGAGATTCCGGACCAACCATTGAGGATGGAGACGAGGAGAACAGCCTCGCCTGGATTCGAGAGGTGTGGCATGTCCGACACAGAGACATCGTCGACTTGACGCCGGACTCGATTATTGACGCCATGGCAACACCTGGAGGATTGGACACCACTATGTTCCGTTAGCGGTTCGTCGTCGAGGAGAAGACGTGAGGTTGTGGTGTTGCTGAAGCAAATTTCTTGACTTGGTCCGTGCACGATGGAAGCTTGGCGTTTAGCCCACAACCAGAAAATTTCCTTGCGCAGACTTTTCTGTTGCTTTTCGTCCGTCAGCAAGTTTGTTGTCCTTCTGCTGAAAGTGCGGAGCAACAGTGCCCTGAACCACTTCTCCAAGTTTTATTGCCATCTTGCCTCTAGAGCAGTATCGATTAATCGATCCGCATCATGGGCACAGGCAAAAAGGAAGCTGCTCGTCGAGAGCGGCAGGGGAAGACGGGGGATGGAATGGCTAATGTTCGGGTCAAGGGTGAAAACTTCTATAGGTAACACTGACTCAATTTGCTTAATATAAAGCATTTTTTGTGTTCCTGGATCATGCTAACCGCTTGTAAAGAAATGCAAAGAAGGTGAAGACCCTTAATATGTACAAAGAGGGTCGGGCACAGCGAGACGCCTTTGGCAACGTCACGAAAGCTGCTTCCTACCAATCTCGAGAGGTACCAAATGCAAGGATTGAACCCAATAGGAAATGGTTTGGAAACACCAGAGTTATTTCGCAGGAGGCCTTGAATTCATTCCGAGAAGCCGTTGCAGAACGAGCGTCCGATCCCTACCAGGTTCTCCTTAAAACCAATAAGCTCCCAATGAGTTTAATTCGTGATGGACAAGCTCCAAACGGCTTGAAGCAGCATGAAGCGAAGGTTGCAGTGGAGGCTGCACCATTCAGTGACACATTTGGCCCGAAAGCACAAAGGAAGCGGGTCAAACTTAGTGTGGGAACGTTGGAAGAGCTTGCCGGCGAGACAGAGAAGATGCACGACACTTATCTGGAAAGGCTTGAGCAAGCAAAATTGCTGAGTGGAACATCGGGTGAAACCGGTGATAATACAGAGCAAGATGGAGAACTCACAGCCGCCAGGGAGCCCGTCTTTTCCAAAGGGCAGAGCAAGAGAATTTGGAATGAACTTTATAAAGTTATCGATTCATCCGATGTTGTCATTCATGTTCTTGATGCCAGAGATCCCGAAGGAACTCGCTGCAGAAGTATTGAAAAGTACATCCGCGAGGAAGCGCCACATAAACATCTCATCTTCGTGTTGAACAAATGCGATTTAGTGCCAACCGGTGTAGCTGTGAGTTTATCCCTAGCCTTTCTGTGCTTCTCTTTCCCATTACCATGGTCTCCCAATCATTGGAACCAGTGCCATCGCATGTCAAGACTCCTTCCGGTGCACAGCACTGCTCTCTCGATGGAAGTTTGTCTGTTACAGCTTTGGCAGATTGACTCCGCCCGCCGCCTTGGCCTCTTTCTGAGGTTCGAGGTTAGACTTGCTTTTGTTCTGAAAGCGCTGTCGTACAGGGCCAGGTGTGTTTTGTTTTGAGTTGAGCTCTGCTCTCACCATTAGGGTGATCTCATAGCAGTTCTCTTAGTTACATTTCACACATTTATCCTTCGCATACTCGATTTATACCAAACTCACTATATTCCGGATGCTAACTCTATTTTGATAAAAGGCGTCTTGGGTACGTGCTTTGTCCAAAGAGTACCCAACACTCGCATTCCATGCTTCTATCAACAATTCCTTCGGCAAGGGGTCCCTGATCCAGCTTCTTCGCCAGTTTTCATCCCTTCACTCAGACCGGAAACAAATATCTGTTGGGTTTATCGGATATCCAAACACGGGAAAGTCTTCCATAATCAACACTCTCAGAAAGAAAAAGGTTTGCACAGTGGCTCCCATTCCTGGAGAAACAAAAGTTTGGCAGTATATTACCTTGATGAAGCGTATTTACCTGATTGATTGCCCCGGAGTTGTGCCACCAAGTAACACCGACACAGAGGAGGATATCTTACTCCGTGGAGTGGTTCGTGTGGAAAACGTTCAAAATCCCGAGCAGTACATTCCTGGTGTTCTTAAACGAACGCAGCGGAAGCATATTGAAAGAACTTACGAAATCAAAAACTACACCGATGCCATTGACTTCCTTAGCATACTAGCCCGAAAAGGTGGCAGACTCTTGAAAGGAGGGGAGCCTGATCTTGACGGTGTAGCTAAGATGGTTATAAATGATTTCCTCCGGGGGAAGATACCGTGGTTCACCCCTCCTCCCCACACACCAGGTGAAGAGAACGAGAGGATCGAGGGACGTGATGGTCGTTTAGGAGAAATCTCCCGTAAGAGAAAGGCCGAAAACTTGGGGAGCCATGATGACAATATCGCCGAAGAACTTTCGTCGGAGAATCCCGAGGATGAGGACGATAGTTTCAACGGTTTTGACGACAGTGAGGAAGGGTCTGGCAATGAAGAAGAGGCCTCTTCTGATTCCTTCGATGCCACGGGTTGAAGAGTAGTCCTAATAGGAAAGTTCGGATATATCCTAGTGGAACTAGTTTGGTTGAGCCCGGCTCGCCAGTTATTTACTCATGCATCGCAAGAACCAGCTTCATCAGAAAGCAATTCTCGGAGGACTCCCAAGGGCGGTCTGCAGGTGACACATGGCCCTCAGTGGCTGCTTTGTGTCGATTCCTGTCTGGACTGACAACTGGCCCCGCGTTACCTGCATGGGGCGTCGCCATTGCGGACGTCCTATCGCCACCCGGCTTGCTATAATGGCCATTGGAGCCATCTCTTCCCCCCAGCGGGATGATGTTCTTAGGAGCTCTAACAAGCAGCTACCTCTCTCCCGGGCGCCATGGACCCGTACCCCCATGAGTAACTTAGATACCCAATTGTATAAATTACTTTCTACTTGTTTTTCCCCGTGACGTAGAGACCAAACTTCAAGCCGTTAACTTAGCCGTATGTGTCACCACCAGCATGGAGGTCTAGGGTCTTGGAAAGGCTTGCCGCGGTCACGTGGCTGCCAACGGACTTTTGTCCTGCCAACCAGTATTATGTCCCAAGACCACCCAGCTTCAAAGACCTAATTGCCACTCCACAAGGAGAAGCTGGCAAATACTGCCTTGGCCCCTTACAGTGGAAATGATACCTCATATCTATCTTTGCTCCCGGCCTTCAGCGACTGGGCGGTTGTTACACAATGTCTGATCGAGACGAGCGGAGCATGTCAATTGTTCCATACGCCTCCAGTCGTGACGTCGTTCTGTAAGGACGCCTCAACCGAGGTAATGAGAAGAAGTTGAGAAGCAGATTCTTTTGCTGATGTTGATGACCTGCAGTCGTCATAATGATGCAGTGGTAGTCTTCGACCGTGCCTCCAAGCAGCTAGTCCTCCAGAGCGCCGATAATGCACCAACGAACATAGAACCGCCAGAATGTCCCTACTGTCACCAGCGGCTGCGAGATGGAAACCACACTAACAGAGAACGAGGGCACACTCCAGCTGCTCAGCATGGGTTCGTTAACCCTGAGTATTTTCGTATGCTTGATGCGACGCTACCAGGCACCTCCGAACGATCTGGACCCCCGTCTCCCCGAAGGCGATTAGTACAACCGATACCGCTCGAGGGTTCACCCCTAGGCTCTTCGTACAGTGATGATACCACAGCTCCGGCGTCTCCTGGCATCTCTTCCACCGCATTCAGTCAGGGATATTTTAAGCGGTTTTTTGTCGAAGAAGGCGTGCTCGGTAGAGGCGGAAAGGGTGTTGTACTACTCGTTAAGCACGTCCTCGATGGTGTTCCACTGGGCCAATTTGCCTGCAAACGTGTTCCAGTAGGAGATGACCATGAGTGGCTAAAGAAGGTATTAATTGAAGTTCAGCTGCTCCAGGGTCTGTCGCATCAAAACTTGGTGCCATACCGGCATGTGTGGCTTGAAAATGCGAAACTGAGCAATTTTGGTCCAAGCGTGCCATGTGCCTTTATATTACAGCAGTACTGCAACGCCGGAGATTTGCAAAAGTATGTCTGCGGCTCGGTTCAGTCGGCCGTAACCCCACAGCAACTGAAAGAGCGCTTGCGCCGAAGATCCAAAGGTGAGCCCGAAGTCCCTAGCTTCGGCGGTCCGGTCAAGCTTCAGTTTGAGGAGATCTATTCTTTTTTCAGGGACATAACTTCAGGCCTGAAGTACCTACATGAAAATGGTTACATTCATCGTGATTTGAAACCGAGCAACTGCCTACTCCATGAAACTGGGCGCGAGCTCCGAGTTTTGGTCAGTGATTTTGGGGAAGTCCAGTCGGAAAACACTATTCGAAATTCTACTGGCAGTACAGGAACCATTTCCTACTGCGCACCCGAAGTGCTACGACGTCTCTCCCCCAATGGTCCTTTTGGAAATTTCACGTTCAAATCTGACGTGTTTTCTCTGGGGATGATTCTCTACTTTCTTTGTTTTGCAGAACTTCCTTATCGGAATGCCGATGTCATTGATGAAGACAAAGAGGACTTAGATGAATTGCGCACTGAAATAAGCCAGTGGGCTGGATTTGATGACGCAAGACGCCTTAGACCAGAACTCCCGGAAAAGCTTTATAGCTTTTTGAAAAGGATGCTTTCCGTTGACCCTAATGAACGCCCAACCGCTGCAGATGTTTTAAGTGGAATACAAACTGGTGTAGGTGCTTCCGATAGCCACAGGTACCATAGAAACGGCCGTTCGGCAGAAAGACGTTCGAAATCACTTGCCCTCCCCGTTGAATCGCCGAACGCTGCATCAGAAATGCGAAGTCCGAGTAATGGACTAGGTACCGGAATCACCCCAAGCCGTCACGCGCATGGCTACGGAACCAACAAAACAATCGACATTAGACGCACCTCTGAACCAATTCCCGAAATGGGAGAAGAGATCCGGCCATCCGAAAATACCCTACTCATCCACTCTCCTACGGACGCCGATCATTCCATTCTACATCCAGACCACCAGCGGATACCTGCAGCTAACCATCTCCTCATGCCCCCTCCACGACGATTTTCTTTTTATAGTCTCATTAGACACCGAATAAATGGCCATTATGTTGCCATCACACTTGCTTTCCTCAAAATCCTCTCTATCACCCGGCCTTGTTCACCTCTGGCAGTGAACACTTGGATATTTTACCCACTTCTTCTTCTTACTATATCAGATTTAGGGACCACCAGGACCTGGATTCATGTTTCAACTTTGGTGATACATTTGATCGTTACCGCTTTTGCTTTGCGTTTGGACTTTTTTTGTCTTAGAGCGAGTAAGTTTCAACACTTCCCACTAAACCTATGATGACCTAACGGGGGTTGATGTTGGCTTGTAAGTTCGATAAAGAGAGGCCCTGATTTTGCTTATGATTTTTACGAATGTTTGTAGCTATGATGTATTGTAACAAAATTAAAGTACGCATATAAAGGTTCAGGTTTATATTCCTATGGCGGAGATAATTGACTTGCATGGGGTGTAGTGAGGGAAACGTAACCACAATCCCATGGTCACATCACATCTGATGCCTTCTCAGAAGACTTCGGGGGATAGCGGGGGAAAGGTGGTCAGAGACCTCACCCTTAAAGAAGCACCTATATTATGTGAGGTGTTTTTTAAGTTGATTTTGGAACGTCAATGTATTCAACATGGTCCATCAACAGATATCCTTGGGACCAGCTGAAATGTGAGGCAAACCAAGTTGATTAATCAAATGTGGTGAGACAGTGATAAACAACTTACTCCTCTGACAATTCCAAGCTTGGCTTTCAAAGACATACCTTTCGAGATATGCTCTGGGATAAAAAGAAAAAGCAACATGAAGATCTAAAGGGAATAGGTTGGTGGGTACGGAGTACGGAGAGAATATTTATCGAATAGATTTTTGTAATTTGAATGCATCTGATTTATGTGCATGACGTAATGCTGATGCAGAGTACATACCACGTTAACTCCCCGAATTCCTTTTCACTCTGGCAGATTTAAAACGACTCATGCGCGGTTTATTAGAATTTGACTCGGCATCAAGAGGAATGATTTGAGGTTCGTCTTCTTCTCGCATGAATCCGCCCTCCTGCTGGATTTTCCTGTTTCGAAGATTGTAAAATTCCGTTGCAATCTGCCGCTTGAGAAAGGCCTCGTCGAAGTCCTCAGGATCTGGAGGGAGAGCTGAAGTGTCATTGACTTCACGTTCAATGAGATTATCGGCGATCGTGCTTGATCTGGAAAAATCGGAATCTGGGTCTTCAATTGGCTGAGAAAAAGGTTTTGGATCCGAAGTCGTAGCTGGGAAAAGTGTTGGCGTGACTGGAGGAGCTTTCGAGCGGAATAATGGGCGTGAAGTTTGCGAATTTGTGGTGAGAGGCACAGAGACGGGTTCCGGCCGAACATGTCCTTCACCTGCCCGAGCGATTTTGAAGCGCGATGCCTTTTTCCTTGGCTTCGACTCGAAAATAGCAGTGTTATTCGGTGCGCTAGAATGTTCCATTACTACATCATGGATAGCTGGAGTTTCAGAAGCCTTCGGCTTCCTAGGACTTTCGGGTGAGTTGCCAGCTGGAGCGAGAGTAGATGGATCTGGTGCAATATCTAGCTCGTCTGCAAAGGCAACCTTTTTTTTCTTTGCCAGTTTGTCTTCATTTTTCCCAGATATTGCAGGCTTCAAGTCAGGTTCTTCCAGACCCCGTCTAACTTCAGGAGGTAGGATACTGGTGTCAGGACCAATATTGTGCAAACTCTTGGCATTTAGTTTCTTTTCGAGGTCTCGCATTTGCCTGTGATATTCATCGGAAAGAACCCGCCTTGTGGCCCGACCATATTCATCCTCCTCTTCATACTCATCACTCATGATATAGTCATCGTATTCTTCGTCGGATATGGAAAACTCACTGCCAGATTTGTCTATTTCGAGTTCCGCAACCACAGCTCCAACTTCTTCAAGACCATATTGGAGAATCTCTCTACGCAATGCAGCGTCTTCAGGAGATTCGTCTAACTCTGGCATTTGAATATCACCTTCCCTGTCCATTCGCTCAGACACAGATTGGCTACTCACAGTCGAGCCAACTGTCGGAATGTTGGAGACCGAACCACTTGCCACGTCACCATCAGCCAAACAGTGTTCAAACCGTCCAGTACTTTCATTTGCATCGGTCACTTTTGAATCCGTCGTGAGGCCCGCGTCCACGCCCATGGGATTAGGATCTCCTTTGCTTTCCGCTTCCGATATCGCCTTTGAATCTTCCACGTTGCCCTCCGGTATATCTTTCACACCTGCCCTTTTAAGAACCTCTAAGATTTCCTCCGCTGACCTTCCGGGTGTAGTCGTAGAACCTGATATCACCCTCCCTGCGTCGTCAAGCTCTTCCACAATATCCGTCATCGGTAGTCCTTCTTCATTAAGATCCCCACCAGGTTGTTCAACGACCACCATCTTCAGTAACTTTTTCTCAGCCACCTCAATTCTCTTTTCCAACGTCCTGATATTATCTCGTACATAATCAACACGGCGTTCAATCACCTCGATGACCTGCCGTCGGTTCCGATTCACGCCCTGCGATTCGCCTAGCAAATTCTTGATCTCATTTTCAGTGACGAGCAATCCGCCATAATCCTTTGCAGTGCAAAGAATATCTTCCTTTGAGCTGTTATCATCGAGAGCGGATAACTCTTCCTTTAAGCCGTCGAATTCTGCATCCCAGACACGCCATTTGTACAGAGATTGCTGGAGATCGGAAATTTGATGCTCCAACTCCACACGTTGGCGCTCAAGACTTGAGAGAATATCTTCTGATGTAGACATCGTACTTGTTTAGCCCGAGCTCACGACTTGGAGCTTGAAGAGAAAAAACGCTGAGTTGCTGGAGTGCTCGAAGACCGCGCTTTGGATCCAACTAGTTACATAATCAAGAGAGCTGATTATATAACAAAGCCAAGAACCTAACTAGTTACAGTATTCCGTACTCTACATCTAAATTCTAGTCTACTCCGTACATTCAACAATGTTGTTGAGATATAAGAGAGCAAAAAGTTGAGATTTGTATGTGTATTTTGGTGTCCTGCTTGCTTGTTGTCCCGCTCGGTTGTGGAATATGTTATATAACGATCACTTTACATAATGAATCCTCTACAAAACGGACGAAAATCTCTTCCAAAATTAAATCTCCATACAAAATAATTGTTAACCTGTATACTACGAGATTCGTTGAATATCTCTCAAGATTTCTTAATATATCTTATAAAAAAGCCAAAAAAGACCAAAATGCCCCACCAAACCACAATTTTGATTGAGCAGAAGAAGAAATTACACTCCCACAAGACTCTTAATCCTTCCCTCTCCAACATGGTTTTGATGACATGGTGAAAAAGCTTTGCTTGTATGAAGAGCAGCAGGATAAGGGAGATACAGAGCTAATTCAACAGTTAAATTATTATGAGAGAAGATTAGGGGCTCGGAGGCTTGAAAATCAGCAGCAGCTGGATATTAGAGCATATTTTGTATGCTAGCTCTATATAACGGATCCCTCTATATAACGAACTGAAAAGGCTTCCAAAATTGATTCATTATATAGAGGCTTTACTGTAGTTAACTAACTAAACTAATTAACTAGTTAACTAACTAAGTTAGGTAGTTATTTAGTTTGTACAGAGTACTCCCTACAGAGTCGAACTTAACAACTTATTCATGTGACATATCAAACACTGGCAAGCTTTTGCACTCATGATTTGTGGATAGACGAATGTACAGAGCATGAAGGTTGAAATTAAGAAATTTTAACTGGTGTTTGATTTAGCATGTGAATAATGATCAAGTTCACTGTGAACTAAAATAACTATCATGTGATATTAAAATGAGAGTGTGGAAGACATGAGAGAGAGTGAAAAGATAAAAAGTCTAAAAGGCTCGAAATGCAGTTTGAATCCCATAAAATCCTCCGCCAGTACCAAAAAAAAAAAAAAAAAAAAAAGAAGCAAATATCTCACATAAACATTATGCCCATTTTCCTAGCACAGCCATTGCAATCATACCCAGAAGCAGAGAAAGCATTCCAAGACAGGTTTTCATAACGCCAGTCTGTCTAAATTCCCCATAAATCCAATCATGACCCCACATATTTACAAGGGATGCCCACGTCAAAATGCCTGCAGAGAAAGAGTCGAGAGTTCCAATCGCAATAATGGTGCTTCTATCGTTTCCGTTGAACGTCTTGCGGACGCCAAGTCCGATAGCCATACCAATTGGAGTGATGAGTGTAAATATAGTTGCCATGATGAGTTTCATACCGGTCGCCATCTTGGCAAGGTCGGCGATTCTGGACCCAAGGGCCAAGCCTTCGAACATTTGGTGAAATATAATCACAATAAACAGAGGTGTGTATGCCGAATCTCCAGCAACAACGAGAGTGAGACCGAGAACTATACAGAGTCAGATTTATCCTCTGCTAAACGAGGGCCGCTTATCCTGGATGTTAAACTTACTAATAGAATGGAAAACAATTCCAGCTTCCATAAGAATGACACTCAGTTTATCGCTTCGTGGTGCATGCTGATGGGACATCTCGGGAGCAACGGCACACGTTGTTGATGAATCCTTTTGGTTTGCCTGCTGTGTTGAGCTAGATACCGAGCCCTCCCGGTCAGACTCTGGACGAATCCTCGAAGCCATCACTCTATGGCCAAAGTACTCCAACAAGAAAGTTAAGAACAGACCCGCCATCATGATGGCGGTAGCCGTGGCTTCGTATTGAAGGCGTCCGAGACACCTGTTCGCGAACGTAAGCTGCGCATGGGTCAAAAGCTAATGATGGCATTAGATGTAGACACTCAAGGGATCTGGAAGTGGATAACTAACATGAATGAAGGCAGTAGCAACCATAACCCCGGTACCGAACTGCTTGATGATAAGAAACGCCGATGCGCTTGCCGTCGAAGGAGAAAACCGCTTCCAAAGTACGGGGGCGAAAACGGCGATACCGCTGGTGATCAAAATAGCGAAAAGCGAACCAATACGGTAAGGAACGTTGTAATTGCGGTCGATCCTGTCACAAACTAATTGTGGCTCGTTTGCCGATCCACCTTTTGGGACACAATGTCTTGTTCGGTTAGCGACTATGCTGGTGTGAGAGGTCATTTCAGAAAACATACTCTACACCTGCATGAAAGTGGCAATCGAGCTCCTGCTGGTCATGATCATTGCCATGGTTGTGGCCGTCGTGCCCTCCTGTAGGACTTGAGGCTTCTGCTGCCAAGACCTCGACTTCTTCATTGTTAGGGCCTACGCAGTACCTAGGATTGAAATCAGCATCCTTGTTCGACGTCCGTAGTGGGATTGATAAAGGTGAAGTTTCGAGAATCACGTACAACTTAGATCCATGTCGATGACAATCGGTATATTGAGTAGGTGGCGTAGTATTGGGCCCTGCCGGCCCCGTTACCTGAACCTCTTTGCCGTCTCCGGCGATACAAAAACTGTCTATATGTGAGAAGGAGTTTCGGTGATTTCGCACAAGGACTACATACGTCTTGGTGGCGTGCAGATGGCAGCCCGTGATGGCTGTTGTCTGAGCCGCATTTGTAGCGGTTGGAGTTGCGCTTGCAGCATTTGGTGCGGTTGAAGGAGCCGAAAGATGTGTCGTGACAGGAGTCTCTTGGCCATCAGGGCCGTAGCAATATCTGGAAAAATGTGTTAATGAAGTCTCTCGATTCTCAAGGCTGGTCACTTACTCAGTTGAGCCGTGGCGATGGCAATTAGAAAGGCTTTGTGCGTATAGTTGCGGAGCTAGCAGTGATGTAATAAGACAAATCTGAGTCCAACCAGACATGCTGGAAGAGATTCTCGAAAACATGTCGTAAGCACAGCCAGACAGAAATATCTGGTCAACGAGCTTGAAACAGGAAAGTATTGCGAATGGGAATGGACTATACAGAGTACTGGGGGAAGATCCTCAGCCTTCAAATACGAATGGTAAGTCGGGCCGCGCGGGCAAAGGTTCTCATTCAAAAAAGAAAAAAACTAATAACCACCAATGCTCTCGCTGCAATACGAGAGAATCCTGCTCAAGATGGAGTCGTATTTGAAATGAAAGATCTCCGAAGAACGCCAGAATAGGCAAACGCTCTGCATCCAACAGCGCGGATGGAAAAATTAAATATATCGCCAAGATACAAAGGAGTGCCATATCCCACCCTGAGAGACATTAAAACGGGATGTTACCGCCAAGTTGGCTGAGACCTTGCTCGTCCAATTAAAGCATCCATATGTGAGGACTTTGGTGGAAAGTCACCGGAACATTAGCCGACGCCGCTGTGGACACGAGCCAGGCTGACTGAGAAGAACGTGGTCTTTTCTCCGAAGCCACTCGGCAAGGCAGCGCCAAAAGGGAGAGAAGCGGGATTCGGGTTGCTGAGGACCTTCGGAGACAGCGTTGTTGGCGCGAAGCTCCATTTGGGCTTGGCAACGTCTGACAGCCAGGCAAAAGGGACGCGATTGCCGGGAAACGAAGCATCAAGATGGGCCACGGGCACGGGCTCGGAGAGAGAACGAACCCCATCGCTCCAGTAAGCGAGCTGCCAGCCCGCCAGAAACACCTGACATCACGAAGGCGGATGGGATGGACGTCGTCCGGTGTGAACGTCGAATTAAAGTTGGACAATCAAGAACCTTGGGGTGCTGACTCAGCCACGCAGGCCACCTCGCATCATCAATGGTGGCAATCGGGGGAAGGGATGGGACCGCGCCGGCATCGTGACCACGGGAAGGCCGTCAAGCCCAGGAGATATGGGCCGGCTCACTGTGGAGCATCCCGAGATGCGGCACCCGGACACACTGGGCTAATTGACCAGTTCGGTGCAATTTGAGAACCTTGCGCGTGTAAGGCCAACTCTGCCAGTGCAGAGCGAGTTGGCCAGAGAGAGTTTGGCTGGATGCATCTTTGTATCCTCCTTGCGTGGATGGAAACTTACATGCGTTAAATAGCTACCCAGGCCCAAGTTCTTCCCCCCAGTCACAATCGAAACAGGGACCTTGACCTTGCTTTCCAAAATGCAACTATATCTCGTTTCCCTTTTGGCCGTTGTCAGCCCCCTTCTTGCTGCTCCCCTCGCAGGGCGAAATTCTTACCCTGGTAATGATCTCCCTGCATGGGATCATGGCGCAGTCACTCAATACCCTATCCATGATTCCTGCAACGTCACTGAAAGGCGGTTGATCGAGAGAGGACTTCAAGACGCCATCACCCTAGCCAACCACGCAAAAAAGCACGTTCTCCGCTTCAGCAATAGCTCTTCCATATACCGGAAATACTTTGGTAATGCTCCCTCAGGAGAAGTTATTGGCAACTTGGACAGAATCGTCAATGCCGATAGGGCGAAAACTCTATTCCGCTGCGACAATCCCGACGGTAATTGCAAATTACCAAGTAAGTACATTCGCCCGAGAACTCCATTTCACGGAATGAATGAAAACTGAATTCACATGCTTCAAAGAATGGGGTGGTCATTGGCGGGGGTCTAACGCTACCGGTGAAACCGTGATCTGCCCGCTGTCATATACAACTCGGCTATTCCTTGAGCACTTCTGTACAAGAGGTTACACCGTTGCCGGTTCACCTCTCAATACATACTTCGGTACCGACCTGCTGCACCGGCTGTACCATCTCCCTGCAATCGGAGAGGGCCATATCGAACATTTCAGCGATTCATACGAGGATGTGCTCGAGCTCGGAGCCCATAACTCTTCTTTTGCCGTCCGTGATAGCAATGCCCTCCAATATTTCGCTGCGGACGTGTATGGTTTTGACATAGCCGTTCCGGGAATTGGATGTGCAGGGACTCCTTCCCCAAAGCCAAGTACTACCTCGCAACCTCCAGCGACAACGACAGCCGCTGTGCCACCTGTTAGTATTGCACCCCCCTAGTTTAGGAATGAAGCGCTAAACACCATCGTTTCAGGGTTGTCATACACATGACGGTGGTGTCATTCATTGCCCTTGATTTGCGAACGCGCTTATTGGCCCGTAACTGTAGATCAGCACGGCCTCGGATTGGATATTTTGATAATGCGTTTGCCCCGCGCAGTATCTTGAATAGAAGTGGGAAATACCGAATTCTTGTTTTAAAACCTGTTCGTTCCCATGCCGATGGAATGGCCTGCTAACGGACAATGTACATACATATGCCGAAATGAAAGTAGTAACGCGAAATCAAGGTCTTGTGCAGTTATATGTCGATTCGTCTCATTCTAAAATTCCGTGCGAAGAGCCGGCTAGAAGTACCATTCTCCCCATCCCTCGGGTCTCCAGCTCTTCAGGTATTTGGTGCGACATAATTAGGAGCTTGTGAAAGGCGAAAATGTTCTTGTGCCATTGAAGGAGATTATTCAGCTTGATGTTCCCTCTTTCAACTTCACCCTGGAGTTGGTGTAACTGCCTCTGAGAATAATGAAGAACGTCTTCCTTCGAAACCATTTCCTCACAGAAAGAATTCCAGGTCTCCAGATCCAAGATCACTTTGGATTTGAGGAGATTTTTGCTGAATTGTGAAGCTTGGTTTTGAATAAAGAGGTCATCCAGATATCGGGATTGAACATCTCTCCATGCACCATGAGCATAGTAAATACTTTGGCGCAGTTTATCCTTCATATATTTAATAAACCGATAATCAAAGATGGTGCATTGAATATTTTGGTCCCAATCTTTACCGAGCAACTCGTAGGGTGGCTTAGGAGCATCCTGCTCAATCCACCGAGTGAGTGGATCCTCATGCTGGATCACTGTAGTGCCGGTGTTCAGTAGCAACTGCCATTTCTTGCTATCTAAACTATGCCGGTCGAACGAGGTATGCCTTTTCGGTATGATGTGGGCGACAGCCGTGGAGTTTAGAGAATTCTGCCAAATGACCAAGGTGAAATTCCTGCAGTCGAAGGTTGCCCTGTAGGATGCCATGGCGCTGTCTCGTACGACTCGAGGAATGCCGCCGTTTGCGTAGCCCAAAACCACCAATCCCCAAAAGTCCATTCGAGCTGCCGGCAGCGAATTTGCTATCCCAATACAGGATATCCCGTCTGTTACTCCCTTGATGAAGGCACCGGGCATTTGCTGAGAAAGTGATCTGTAGACCGGTAACCAGCAACATTGTCCACTGGAATGGGCTCTCCACCAATTCTGGGCCTTTTCGAGAGAAATTCTGATAACATCGGGCCACCGCTCATTGTCAATGGCAAAAACTTTAGCCAACCTGGGTTTTTCTTCTCCTGTGCTTCTGGAAACGGAAAGTTCGCAGAAGGTATTGCAATCTGCACCGTACCATGCTTTGGCGATGTCTTCTGTCTCGAGCCAGTCATCAAGGGTGCGAAGGGCTTCGATGCCAATTACTGGAGTTGCTCCTGCCACCGGATCCATTCTGATGGCATCTGGTCGAAATAAACTTGAAGAGGAGGCATTCGATGGCAGAAATTCGAGGGCCCCCAAGCCGAACAAAAAGGATCAGCACGCGGATGGCCATTGACTTTTTATCGGCCAACTTTCAGGTTTAGGGCTGCGTCATAGGAGGGGCGTACTCGAAAGTTTAACTTCACGTGGTGGGTAATTTCCACCAATTTCCACCTGTAAAGAATGGAAGAAAGGGGGATTTTTCGCTGGTCCCCCTCGAGATAGGGTTTCTCTGCCTCTTGGCACTTGATATAGTTGCGATTTGAGCTGCTGCCCGTTCCTGAATAACCCACCAATCTCGAATACACCCTGGAGCTGGGCGAATAGCTTCAGTGAGCCCCGCAGTCACCTAGAATTCCTCAATGCATCAATGGCGTGTAACATGAAATAGAAGTCCTGGATGGCTGATTCAGAAACTAGTTGAATAAGATAACAATTGGAAGTAAACACAAGGCCTTCCACGTAGACGATGGTCTATGAACGTAGCCGTGAGTTAGAAGAACCCTTTTGACTTTACTGCCTTCCCAGACCACTTGTCAATGATAAGGTCCCACAGCTGATATTGGAGATCGGCCCCAAGGTTCAGCCTTGGGGCCGTACCTAGTGGCTAGCACCATTCCTTTCGAGTGACTGTATTCCACCATTGAATAACCTGGCTCCAGCTCCTTCAACCCGGAGAAAACGTCTAGTGTAAGTGGTAACTGGGGGAAGGAGAACGATATGGATGTTATACGCGAAGTAGTCCGGCTTGAGCAACCCTGGGAAACACGCCAAACTCGATTTATTCCGGCACACACTGGCCACGAAGGATCCACGTCAAGCATTAAGGCACATGGTGCGATAAGGGACGCAAGGACACGTCAAAAAAGTGGCACTTATATCCGCAGCTCCGATCGACGCAGGCACATGTACTCCGTAATATCGAGGCTCCATCACTCTTCCAATGTCACTGGTATGGAGATGCAATCGTGAATCCGAAAACAGGCGATCCCGTTCGGCGGATGCGAGACGAAGCGGGACTGTTCCCAAAGGGCAGTTGAGAAGGTTCCACTAGTTATGTCACGTGATACATCGGCCCGACTGCACCTCACTTCCACCGCTGCCAAGCACGGCGGACTTGGAGCTGGTGAAAAGGACTGCCGGGATTGGCTTTCTACTCTGAGCTCTTGTTAAAAGGGGTGGGATTATCAACTCGGCGGGCATTAAGCTAGCTAAATGGCAGACCATTTATCCACCAGTGCCGGCGGGATGCCTTGAGCTTCACCACTTTTCAACCGCGTCTGCCCAGTCGCGAGGCCAAAGACGAACTGCCTCATTCCCAAGAGATGCCTTCCCAACTGAATGGCGCCAGCCGCCATGGCGAAGACGACGGTATGCTTTTACCCGGCAGGCTGGCCGTCTGCTCTCTAGCTAACCCTTCGCGTACTTTTAGAAGTATGTCCCGTCTGCAAGTCCTCACGTTATCTCAACCCGGACATGCTGTTTCTCATCAATCCGGAATGCTACCATAAGATGTGCGAGTCATGCGTGGATCGAATATTCTCCGCCGGCCCTGCACCGTGTCCCGTAGCGGGATGCCATAAGACCCTTCGCAAAAATCGGTTTCGAAAGCAGACATTTGAAGATATAGGTGTCGAGCGGGAGGTTGATATAAGAAAGAGGGTGATGGGAATGTACGGAGAAAAAAGCGCTTCTGTTGTCTGACGCACAAAGCCATAAGGACAGGATAGCTAACCATCACTTTATCTAGCTTAAACCGCCGCGAGGAGGAGTTCGATAGTAAACGCGCCTGGGATGACTTCCTTGAGCAGCGTGAGGAGATCATAACCAACCTCGTCTACGGTACAGACGTCGCAAAGACAGAAGCTCAACTTGCTGAATACGCTGCCCAAAATGCCGCTTCAATCCGTCACAACAAGACTCTCGAATCTCAAGAATCCGCTTTCCTCCTTCAACAGCAAACCCTCGAGCAAGAAGCTTTTCGACAACGCCGTCAAGCCGCAAGGCAGGACTACGATGAAGCACGGCGAGCCAAACTTGCAGGACGACAAGAGATCATCACACGCCTCGCCACTGGCACCCCCGAGGACGCAGAGGCAATCGCGCGCGAAGCCAAACACGGAGGCTTATTGAAGAAATCATCCGCTAGACGTAGCGAAGAAGAGCGCATCAAGCGCAAACAGGCTGCCCTGCTGGCGGAATCTAGAAAGGTGGGTGCTCAAGCTCCACCTGCGGGAGACACTGGTGCCACCCCGGCCGCGGGTCCGTGCTTGATCAAAGGCCTCAGAAAAATCAAGACTCCAGAACCTGAGAAGCCATACGATCCTTTCGCCGGTGGATTATCTCTTACTAATCACGACTACTACACACTAAAAGATCACTATCCATCTCCGTACCTTGACCCGATAAGGGATGATGTTCGGATGCTTGCCGGAGGATATAACCTCAAAGAATATTACGCCAGAACCCTTCTTGAAGCATTTGCGGGTTTGGGGTGCTTTATTGAGGAGGAAATCTCAGCAAAAGATCCGCCATCTGCGTCAATCGGGCCCTCGTCGCTCTCGTCCGAAAGTCATTCAGCTTTGGCAACTGGTAAAGCTGCAGAGGAGGGCATTCATAGGCCTACAATATCCAGCGACGACGTTTTTTAATCTTGGGTTTGCATCATTCTATATATTATGGTTATTGTGCGGCGTTATTATTCTCTAGTGACGAATTTTCAGCATCCAGGCGCAGTTTTGGAACCATAGATGGGTTTGATGCACCACCGAGTTTTCGCGTGTCCCAGATGAAAATAAGAGAATTTATATTGAAAGTATTCCGTAAGGAGAAAAAAGATAGCCAAACAAAATCGAACGAATCCACTTGACCAGCGACGTGACGCGATCCCAAAGCGTCTCGAAGAGTCAAATACAAGTTGTATCACCAATCACAAATAAAAGCCCAACAAAAAGCCAAGCGTAATATAATTATTCCCATACAGCGATAAAGGGGATAAAGGGGTAGCCGAAGCCAATGGCCTCAAAGGTGAACCCAAAAGCTTGAAGAAATGGTACCGCAATGATAAAGTAAACACCCAGCGCAGCAACCTTGTCTTCATCCATTTGAATGCGGTGAACCAATGTAACGTACCCGACTCGACCAATTCTGGGACACAGTGCAGGTAACCTGCCAGTCAAAAACCAGGACGGGAATCAAGGGCAAGAGACTACAGCTGACAGGATTTGTGGATCAAGGGGTTGAAGAATCCTCCATAGCCGTTGATTAAATGCAAGGGCCGAGGATAGAGTGTAAACCCAACGGTAACTAATGTCCTGAACTATCAATCCTGATATGCAAAAACGATATGCAAGGCTTAGTGTATGCGTGCATTTCTTCGATCAATATCCACTCGGCTTTTTAGCCGAGAAAGCTTTCGAGGTTGATTCTATAGTGTCATCAAACCCTTCCCAAGGCAATTCCTCGTCATCGCTATCGCTCAGCTTAGCCTCATGAGCTGTATTATGCTTTCCTTCCTGGAAATCTTGGCCCAGTCGCTCAGTGAGGTTTGGTTGCCCGCTGACTGGGGCTGCAATTCCGAGTGAATGCAGCGTGACCTCAACCTCTTCCTCAGTCATTTCCTCGCCATGTTTCTTTTGTCCTTCCAGAACATCATAGAGAGAATATATTTGATCCGATTTCTTCTCAATTTCAGTCATGAGGATTGCAATTTTTTGACACATGGCTTTCCGCTGCCGTTTATTAAGTGATGGATCGTGCTTGGCGTAGGTGGTTTGAAATACTGTCAGTTGCATTTTCAAATGCGCTAGTTCGTCCTCAAGGGCTTTGAGAACAGAGGCTAAGGCTATGGACGGTTTCTGGGATGGACGCAGCGTCGGTTCATTACCACAGGCAGACGGTCCAGGTCGACGTTCCGAGACTGGGATCGGCCGAGGGACTTTGATTGGTGGAAGGTTCACACTTTCTTGTGCAGGATTGTGCTTTTGAGATTCATGGCAAACGAAACAGTTTTCTTTTTCGTGGCTGGCGACTTCATCAAGAACACGTTGCGCAGCTGCAGAAACCTTAATCGCCTCATACTTGCTAGTAACGCCATGCAATGTGATGTCTGGTAGAATAATGGCGGATGTCATATCGCCTGCCTTGCTCTGAGATCGTCGGCGCCCGGGCATGGAGCGAGTGCTTTGTGCTGTTTCAGGGGCCGCCATTTTATCCCGGGCCTGGGCAGTGTCAGGCTCAGAGATCTTCAATTTCACATTGGTTGCTGGTTCCCTTCCAGTTTGAGGTTCTATCCTTGATTCTTGGACGTTCGACCCTGTTGTCAAATTATCCAATTGTAAGGGATCAAAATGGGCTCGAGCCGCACCCTTTAAGGGAACCCGGGCTGTTTCCTTTGCACGTCGCTGTTTACGTGCGATGCGCTCTTCCTCGAGCGTTTTTCGAAGGAGTGCAATTTCATGGCGCTAGGCTCTTGTTAGTCGAAACAGGGCAAAGGACAACCTTAAAGAAATTTCGTAGGGGCACTTACATCGATGAAACTAAGGAACGTTAAATCCTGGGTGTTTCTCCCATCTGTGCGGCGATCTTTCGACTCTACTGTGATCTCGGCATCTGACAGGTCACTATCATTTTCCATTACTGCCCTCTTTACACGCTGTTTGCTTGTGTTGGGTTCTTTCTTTTCCTTTCCGGTTTGAGAGCGGCTTCCGCGCCGTCGTTCCCGAGACTTAGATCGACAACGTTTAGAAAGGTCAAGCGAAAACAAATCTTCGTAATGATTTTGACATTGCTTCGATCTCAGGGCATCATCTTGGGTCGATTCAAGGGTTTGATCGTGAGTATGGCAACATCTGTGATGCTTTCGATGTCCATTACAAGTGTTCTCGGGACCTTCTTCGACACCCAAATCTCCTTCATCAAGGAATTCGAGATCAAGTAATTCAGAGTTTCTTCTCCTTCGAGATCCGCTCCTAGACGTCGTCTCTTCTTTGTGTGCTTTGGCTTTCGACAGAGCATCTGGGTTCGATTCGTCCACGTTTGGCATCGACGTTAATAATAAGAGTTGGCTCCGAAGCTCTTCATTGTCTCGGCGAAGTGATTCATTCTGAGAACGAAGTTCCTGGCAGCTGAGATACGCAACACCGAGTTTATTCATCACAGTATCGCGCTCTTTCATTACTCTTCGCATGTCTCCATCATGGCCTGCAATTTTGTGGTTGGCAATATCGAGGCGATTCTGAAGTGCCATGTTGGCCGTCTCCAGCCCTAAATCATCTAGTTAGCCAGGCTAGGCGGATTTCCTTACTAAACTTACTATTTCTCTCAACGGCCAATGTCGCCGCACCTCGACCTGACTCATCCTCCGTTCTTCTATACATATGTAACTTTCCTTCCTCCCTTTTTTTGCGGCTAGATCGTTCAGCTCGAAGTGCTTGATTTTCTTGCTGAAGTTCCTCCAGTCGGTTCTCTACTAATAAATTTTCTTTCTCTAGTGAAGCAACCTTGTTCTGGAGCAACTTAAGTGATGCGAATATCGCCTTCTCATCCTCTGGGATAGGAACACCATCAAAAGCAACGTGTTCTTGGGAGGCCGCCGAAATAGTCACAGCAGGTGGAGAGGCAAAACGAGTAGTTCGCGACCGGCCTTGCCGTGTTCCTGCCGGCACACCTTCGTGGTAAATACCTGACACCAATTCAGACATGTCTGGCATGTCCGGGAGGATAAATGATTCGTGATTGGCAGTTTCATGTAGGGCGTCATTCGTTCCCGTCATATCTGTGTTGTTTTCTTCCGTGAAATCCGCTACATTCTGCCCAATCCCCGGGTATGGTTTGCCAGCGGCGTTATTGACAGCATGGGCTATACTTTCGACGTGTTTTTGAGCTTTCTTACTTCCGAACCGAGTATTCTTAGACTGCCCATCGAGAGTTGGAGGACGCTCATCGCTCAGATATGAGCCTTCATAGCTCTCCAGGACCTTTGCATGCATATCAGACAATGTGCGACGTTGAGTTCTTGAGGGTCGCCGGCTCGAATTTGCCTGTCTTCTACTTCGAATTTTAAGCTCCTTCGGATCAAGATTCTCTTTTTGTGACACGTGGCTTGCATGCCGAATCTGAGCATCTTTCCGAAGATTGTCCTGATCCCTCATCACAGCTCTATTAGAGATTGACCGTAATGCTGGCCTTGAGCACTGTGGTTCAGGAAGGTCCTCGCGCCGGGCCCCGGGTGATGTAGCTAATTTACTATCCTCAAACGATAGAACAGAACTATGAGTATGATCAGTTCTTGGGATGTTTCTCCCTCCCCTGCCGATTTCGATCGACAGGGCTTCCGATTCATCAGAACTGCTAGCATCGGTAAAATGGGGTAGCGCTCTATGGAGGGCGGAGGTGTCGATGGCATAATCGAGGTCCTCAGCTTCCTTGAGAGCGTTCTCGTTGGCTAAGTGCTGAGTTGATATCAGAACATCGTTGTCAGGATCAAAATCTGAGAGGGTGGAGTCTCTCGATGGCTGGCTCCGAGCCAACACATCGGAGGTGCTGGTGTGGTCGTTAGGAGACATCGAAGGTCAACAAAAAAATTTTCGCTTCTGAATAAATTCCGGCGTGGTTAGTTGGACGCGTGCAAAAAATTCGCTGGGTGGTCTAAGCCAGCCTTCATAGATTCAGAGACATACCCTTGATACCCGAAGTCTACGCGTCCGGTTCGCGCCGTATCCAAGATAAGACGAAAGGGTGCAGGGTATAGGACTTGAATCAGTATCCAAGAAAACATATAAATGCCATATGCAAGCTTGTCAAAGCTTCGATGGCGGTCCTCTCAGTTGAGGAAGAGTTTGCCGACAGATGGTGGACAAGAACGACAAGCTCTCTGTTTGTTTACGTTCCGGGCGCTCACCTCGCGCTAAATCCAGGAACGGGAAAGCGCGATTCACCCCCCTTCTTGCCCCGTCCCGGCCCAGGCCCACAGCGCCGGATTATGTAACAAATAATTTTCATTGAGCCCGATCCGCCGGTCTGCCGGGGAGCCGGAACAACTTTCTCCGGCTGACTCGACCTCTCATATGATGGATCCGAGCTGGAATATGCACTGGGGCCCACCACGACCGCAAACAAACTGCTTGGTGGCTAACTAAATCCCTACTTACTGGTACACCAGTTGTTTGGTTTAGCTGCTCTATATCACAAATCGGTGCTTCTGCCACTGGTTGATTGCCCGTTTCCGGCCGCCCCTGTTCATCTTCAAACTGTCACTTCGATTTATAGTATGCCCGAGGAATATGATCATAGTATGGAATCACAACCATCTCCGGGTTGTGTGTATTACCCACCATACGTTCAGTGCTAGCATGTGTCGGCTTATTGCTGACAATCAAGTTGATACATGACGGCCCCTCGACCGCGGATAACTCCTCCACCGTTTTCTGGATGTCATCGATTGAATCGACCCGGGCGGACTCATTTCCCAACCCCTTTGCAACAATTTCGAAGGCGGTCGCGGGACTGAGGCTGCTGATCGGTCGGGCCGGGTTTTCTGTCCCATAAATGAGATCCTGTTCGTTTGAGCTCACCCCCAAACAGTAATTATTGATAACAACAGTCATGATATTGAGCTGGAACCTGGCATACGTGTCCAGTTCCGTGAAGTGGAATCCTGCAGAGCCATCGCCTTGGACATTGATGATCTGGCGGTCTGGAGCAGCAATTGCGCAGCCTAAAGCATAGCCAAATCCATTTCCTAGGAATCCAAGATACCCGGTTGACCTGAGGACTATGTGAGGACTTGCCAAAGCAATACAGTGGGAAGCCCAGAGTTCGCATTCACCACCATCGGTGCAAATGATGCTCCCTGGTTTGAGGGAACAGAAAAACTGCTTAAGAGCGTGAAATGGATGTAGACGGCCCGGGCTGATCCCGTTGGTTCCTGCTCGTGTCGACTTTGAAGAGATTTGATGCTGGTGGCAACCTTAACCCATTCCTTTTGCACTCGAATTTCGGACTTGGACAACGCCTCGTTCAATGCAATCAAAACCTGGCCAACATCGGAGACGATCCCAAGATCAATAGGCAATGATCTACCAATTTCACCGCCGTCAAGATCAACTTGGATAACCTTGCATCCTTCCTTAGGGATAATTGCCCCGCTGCGGCCAGCCAGGTACATTCCAGTTCTTGCTCCAAGAAGGATAATTGCATCTGGCGGAGGGTACCCTATAGCCCGAAATAACGCCAAATTTGTTGCATTTCCACCATTCAAAGGATGTGAAATAGGAACGAAGGCCGAGTACTTCTTTGAATTAAATATCGGAATATAGGTGTTTTCGATGAACTTGAGCAGTTCTGGGGCGCACTGCACCCTAGAAGTCAGCTCGAGACTGTGTACAATCGTTCGTACGCACCTTTTGTGACCTTGCACCGGTCCCAACAATGATCACAGGGCGTGTTGGTTGCTTTAAGATATTAAGTGCTTCTTCGATTGCATCCTTATGAGGACCCGGGGGGTATGGAATCGGAGAAGAAATGGATCCCCACGATATCCTTGACTGGTGAACAGGAGAGAACAGCACATCGATCGGAAAGTCAATCAATACGGGGCCTATACTCCGTAAGCCTTGATATATATATCGTCCGTGATTCTATTTCTTCCCTACCTGGTGGGCCAGCTACGGAGTTTCGAAATGCATGAGAAACTAAACGGGGAATATCCTCGGCGTGCGTGATACGGTGTGCAAATTTGGTCAAGGGCTTCGCCACGACGACTTGATCTATGCTTCCCTGGAGAGAATTGTTTTCTGCATCCCGCAGTGGCGCCGAAGATGTGATGCAAAAGATCGAACTTCGATCTGCATATGCAGTGGCCAATCCTGGCAGGCCATTGCTGTACCCGGAATCTCTGTAAATATTACAGGATCGAAAGCGTTGGAAACTCATGTGGATGTTTTCGTTCTCACCCGCTATTGGCAGTCACAAAGCAGACGCCAACCTTGCTGGGGATCTTGGAGTATCATTCTGCAGCCTGGACTGCGACGGTTTCATGTCGAGTGTCTATCAGCCTGATGCCAATGAACTCACATCCTATGAGAAATGCATCTAGATGACCACCATGTAGCCCATACACATCTGTAACTCCTAAATACTTCAGAGACTGGGCCAGAAGGTCACCACCGCAAACTCTCGGGATCTGAGGAGCTCAAGCGGAAAGCCAGCCATTACGGTTAAAGCACTGCGATTCTCTCGGAGGACGGTTGATTTCTAGGAGGTGTAACCTCGACTTCCGCCCGAGAATGGGAGGTTTTAAATGTTAAGGCCAAACAACCACCAAAAGGCGCCGATTGAATTCTGGCATCGTCGGTTGAATAAAATTCAGCGTTCCGAGGCATCGCGGAGTCGTTTATCAGAGTCTAGTCACCCAAACGACGCAATGCGATCCTCGGATCTAATTGACGAGTGGAGAAGGCCAGTTTGTGGGAAAAGCAACTCCACTTCATAGTATGTAGTTAATACCAGGGCGCTGGTCAACAATCCCCTGAGAACGAGCCTTGAGCCCATGATGCATGCATGTATTCAAGACATACATAACAAGTTACCCCGCGTTAAAACCTTAGCAGCGGACGAGGGTAACGGTGCATGCCGCGCCCCCTTGGGTTTCGGGCAAGAACATTTATCACAGCATTTCTGCCGTATCAAAGAGAAACAGATTTATGATAATTTACTTGCGGGAGGCCATTCAAAATGACATCGATTACTATCACGGACGAATCGTTGACGGGCCTCAAAGATAAGGTGGTCACCATCTCAGGTAAGTATAATAATCGCCCTAGTGGCGCGAAACACATTTTCAACGCATCGACATCTATTCGTTAAACAAATGCTAACACATGATCATATCAGGCGGCTCTTCCGGAATCGGTCTCGCAACGGCTAAACTCCTCCTATCTCTTGGAGCGAGGGTCTCGATCGGCGATCTCTTACCTCCGCCTGATGATGTTCTTCAGGCCGATGGCTTGATATTCACGCCTGTTGATGTCACGAAGTGGAAAGATCTATGCGGTTGGTTTCGCGAGACAAAGCAGAAATACGGCCGGATTGACCATGCTTTTTGCAATGCCGGTATTAGCCACCGGGCGGACTACTTTGATGAAAGGGTTGACGATGATGGCGACCCATTCCAGCCGAGTGGACTTACATTGGATGTGAACTTGATGGGCGTCATTAACATGACGAAGTTAGCCATTTGGTATATGAGAAAACAGGAGAGTGGCGGAAGTATCGTGATCACGGCCTCGGCCAGTGGTATGTGTTCGTCCTTCCTGACAATCCTTTTCTGTTTTCTCTGGAAAATGGTTTGGAACCTGACGGTGCCTTAGGTTTCCAAAGATTCGGAATCGTCGACTATTGTAAGTGCAAAGTTTAAATTTTCCCTATTTCCCGGGGATATATACTGAAACTGGCGCTGTGAAGGCGCTTCAAAACATGGAGTTATAGGTAAGCGAGACTTCCCATTGTGCTTCTTTTTCACCCTAGCGCTTCACATCGCTAATGTTTTACAAGGTTTCATGCGTGGGCTTGTGGCTCGCGATCTGTATCCCGGCCTCTCCATTCGTATAAACTCACTCGCTCCCGCCTGGACGGACACGGCAATTGTTCCCCGGGCCCTGTTGGAGGCTGTTGGATGGAAAGTTCAATCTGCAGAGGACGTCGCTCGCTCTGCTGTGATTTTGATGGCTGACGAGTCTCGCCATGGACAGCTGATCTACTCCGCGGAAGGAAAGTTTCTCGAAATTGAAGAGCCGATATTGGAGGCAACCGTCAAAGTTATCGGCGCATCACCGGAGACCGATACCACAAAAATGGCGGCATTAAGGGATAAAATCAGGGCGGCCCAAAGACACTGACGTATACGGATCGAGTCCTGGGAATAGGAAGACCTCGGGGAGCATATTACCTGAAGTAAACCCTGTAAAGTTAGATGTCAATACCCATGCTCTAAGCTTGAATTGAGGCATGAATTGAGCTTCAGAAAATTTATTTTTTTTCGCCCTGAGCATAAGAGGAATGTTAGATGGGAATTTTTACGGGTCCATACCCTGCTGAACAAGATTCGACTGAACCACCGCGAACCGGTGGGGACGTCTGGATGGTCGAAGCTCGGATCTATGATGAACGAAAGTAGCCAAAACCGCGCCATCATCGAAAACAAACGGAGGTCGGCTAACATTCTTCGAACTATTTTCAACCTAGTTGACGGACGTGAGGCTCGGAAAGTGCTTCTGCTGTTGTTGAACGAAGGCGACGAGCCGTTTTCAACTCTAACCCAAACGTTACCTTGCAGAGGGAGCTGGAGGTTCCTATCTGCCTTTGCGAAGACAAATGAACTGACGGGTCCGGTTAGTTAATCAAAGTTAATTTTGAGGGTCAGGCCGTCATGTCTCAGTGTTGCCATGAGAACTCGATAACAATTCCAGACAGAAAAAAAAAGCCTGACAAAAATTTTGTAACTGAGTCTTTCCTCGACACCGATTGGACTGACAACCCAAAGCCCAAAGGGCAATTATAACTGCTCAAGGTTCAAGAAACGGGTGATATCAAGATATTAACAATGACAAATATACAGGACAATTGATGTAATGATGTTCTTCTGTCCGTGAACAAAAAAAGATATTCTTATGGCAAATCAGCACACCAATGTGGTCAATACAAAAGCAAACCGAGTATGCCGTAGACCCGGAGGCGAGGAGGAAAGAAAACCAAGGCACCCAACTATTAATCAAAAACCAAATGTTAAGCAAGGATTTGTAGAAGATTTTGCCAGAGAGTCATGAGTTCGTTAGATGGGATTTTATTCGGAGCACAAGAAACGGATAAAAAAGGGCAGTGGGTTAGGGCTGAGGCCCGTAGGTGTATAAATACCGACTCCGAAGTTTATCGGTGCAGCATTAATCCTAGTAGGACTAGTAGGAGAGGTGGATATGCATGATTAGTTATGGGAAGGCTATGGTGGAACAGATACAGCGCTTCTGGAAGGAAAAACGGGCGAATGAGGAGTGCTAGGGGGTGGCGTCGCATTCTCGACAGCAATACTAGGTACATTGCTATTTGGAGCGAGCTGGGTCGGCTGGTGAGCAAATTGCGGTGATTCAGCGTACGGAGGAGCCTCGCCAAGATCTTCGTAGGGTGGAGGTTGTGGGATAGAAGAGTCTGCAATGTCAGTTTCTGGAGTGGGTGCATTTTCAGCATCGGAGAAGATTGTAGACTGTGACAGGACAGAGGTGCTGGACAAAGTACGACGATGCATCGGCGGCATTCCACTTCCGCCCTGGGCCATGGCCGCGGGGGTATCTAGGAGGGGCCGGGAATCCGATCCCTGAGAACTTGCGCGCAGACGAGAGCCATCATGGCGGACATGCCCAACAGCGGCATATGATACACTTGATATGCGTCTTTCCCGGCCCCGAGACTGATGCTCCGCTAAGAGCGAGGCTGCGGACACTGTCTCGTTGTTTGCGCGGGCCTGCACCCTAGCGCTGCTCTCCGCACGGAGTTGCTCTAAAAGCACCCAGTCTCCACGTTCACGCGCCTCCCGGCGTATCCGCCGCCTTTCCTCTCGCTCCGCAATTTCCTGTCTGCGACGTAGTCGAATTTGATACAGAGCCTCCATCTCTTCCTCTCTCCGGGTCTCCTCTTCGTCCACTGTTTCCGGAAACTCCACCACGACATCCATACCGGCTCGCTCTCCTTCCCTTCCGATCACTTGTTCGGACGGCTTAGGGATGGGTGAGTAGGCAGGAAGGGTTATTATAGATCGGATCGATGTGTGTCGGTCGATTGCCGCCTGTGTCGCCTCCATTTCCGCGGCTCCTGCACCTGCATAGGCCGTATTCTGCACCAAATCGAGCGACGATGAGCCGTCTCGTCCCGCTCCAGAGTTGCTTGGAACGTGGCCATAAGCGGCACGGGGCACCCATTCCTTCCATTTGCGCTTCAAGAATTGTGTTGGGATAAATTTTGGCTCGTAGTTTCGAGCACGAAGGCTTCGCAGGACGAAGTATATCAGGATAATGACGCAGAGGATAGCAAGGACTATTACACAACCCTAGTGTATAAAGCAATTGCAAATTAGCTTTGGCGATTGTTAGGATGGGATCTGGGTGCAGAGCACGACTCTCAACCCACCACGATGAGGTTTGTAGTTTTGGATCCCGGACGACCGTCGTCGCTTATCATTGCAACAGCTTGTAGAGGGATATCGTAGTAAGGCGCAAGCAAAAGCGACGAACGTTTTCAGGCGATAAACATATCTACACCGCAGACACTCGAAACAACGCGCGATGATTGGCCTGTTGCCGTTGCTGCGACTGGTATCTTGCGACTGGGAAACACGGGGAGAAGTTTCGAGAAGACTGGCCCACCGAAAGAAAAGTTTTGTGTTGCCTTCGAGCGGTGTTTGGCGATAACTATCCATCAATCCAGGAGAAAAAGACGACGGGAGACAAGGAGGCAACCGAAACGGTTCGGTCAGCCCTATGGGGAAGCAAAGCGGAATTTGCACGGCGTCCGAGTCAGCGAGTGGCTTCAATGGCCTGCGCTGGTTGGTGGGATCCTCAAAGCAGCAATTTGGCAAGCGGCTAGCCAGGCCAGTTCCGGCAAACAAGCCGTGCGGGCAGTGCAACGGTTTCTTGGGTGCAAAACCTTCGGAATACGGGTGCAATGGCTGAGCACCATCCTCCTCCCTTCATTGAGCTCTGCTTTTCTTGGATTTTGGCTAACTTGCCAACCACCTCAGCCAACTCCTCACTCTAAGCCACGGGAACCGCACTCACAAGATGCAACCTCACATGCCATTTGGAGTGGAGGAAATCAAGTCAGCCGAGAGAAGTGTACATGCTCTAACATTGCCTGGCCAACAGGGGTATTCAGCCCGTTCTTCTCCACTACAAATATTTCCCAGCTCTCCAGGCGCACAAGATCTGCCATCGATGACGATATGTTAATGTCATTATCGGCGGTTTCTAGAACTTCTCCTTGACCCAGATTGGAGTTTTGAGGCTTGACGCTTCCTGGTTCTCGAAAGACATACGCGCCAGGTTCTTCCAATGGGCAACACTCATTGGATAGAGATTTTCCTTCTGTCCGGTTCCAGAGTCGCTGCACTGAATGTCTTGAAGGTCTCTGTCTGCTCTCTATACAGAGATGCATCCGGATGGTCATTATCCCTGCTACGTGCTTTCCTCGCATGTAAAGCCAATGAGCCATGATAGTGCGCGGGAATTGCGGATGGACTTTGACACCACCCAGGACACTTGGTGGAGTTGGCGCTGCTACAAACCTCTGGAAGGTTTGCTTCAAGGAGTCCTATCGTTCGGAATATTCCCAGATCCCATATAGACGTATGGGCTGTGTTTCATGAGGAATAGACGCAAAATGATAGAGAGTTCTAACAGAGGGCCATGACTGCAAAATGCAAGGGCTAATAGAGACAGACTTGTGTGTCCTGCACTTCAGCGCAGTGCCTTGAAGTGGCATTCACTAGGTCTGTGGAGGATTTCAGTTATTCTGAACCACACACAATGTTCGCACCCTGTGGAAAATTTCACCTTTCCCCGGAGCTGAAGTCCACTCTTTTCTGCAGTAACCTTTTTATCATCATGTTTCTTCAGTCTTTCACAAGTGACTATCATTGCTAGTTCTTGGGTACTTTTCAATGTGCTATCCATGCCCTCAGCACGGGGAGCTCGATTCTATTACCTCGGGTGACGATTTTCAACTGCATCACGCAACTCGCCCTGTGAAGATATTTGATCATCTCTAGGGAACAACAAAGGACCCTGAGTTCATCCCACCCCTATCCTGGATGATTGCTCCCTTCACATGCTATCTTCGAGAGAGAGGTTGGAAAGTTGTGGTTGGAGCTTGGAAGAGAGCATTCCTTCCGCTGATTCATCTCCCCGTACACAATTAGATCAGATATTTGTCTTTTCGAATCCCCTCTATGGTTGATACGCATTCAGTTTTTGCCGGCGAAAAAAATATACTAAATCACGGGTGCTCCTCCGCGGTGCGCAAATATGGCTAGCAGGATTGCCTTAAGGACTATAGTATGAATGAAGTATGCCTTATTACAATGCTGTACGATAGGTAGAGTAAGAAAGAGGAACCAGTGAAACAATATTCCGTAGACTCCGAGTAATTACTCCGTACACATGCGAAGTTTTCATACGTACCCAGCAGCCCTGCACGGCGGGCGCTTTTTAAGGGGCATTTTGGTTAAAGGTTACGGCCTTAAAGCCAAGCCATGAGAGAGTTTGTTTGATTGATTGATTGATTGATTATGTCATCCACCGGTCCCAGCCGCTTTGTCAGCAGCTATGCGGGCTTGTCCTCACGTGATCACCGCCAGCTCAGTCACGTGCTCTAGATACAAACTAAACAAACACAATAACACGGATACATAACTACCTTCACAGCGCGTCAAGTTTATCTCATCTTCTTCCATCTCATCGTCTTCCACTGTGGAGGTTACCAGTGGCTACTGCTTGTCACTTTTCTCACCCGCTCTCATGTTGGGTCACACCAGTCGCCCATGTGGCCCAGAGGGTACCATTTACGAGAACGAGAAAGGATTTGACAACAATTTGAGGATTGAGATCGCTCCCACAAAGATTGACTTTATTAAAACACTGAAAAGATCAAACACGTCATTGATATTCCATGTGAACTATGATGGCAAGCCCCGCGTTCTGAAAGTTGTATGTGCCTTGACCATTGCTATATGCCAAACCTACCAATTTCTGACCATGCCCAGTTCCACAACAATGAAGACGCCGGGTATGCTGATGATGGGATTCGTGATTTGAACCGCGCTCGCTGCGAAATCCGGGCCTACTGCAGTCTCAAGCGATCCGGTGTATGCGACAGGGGCTACGTACCACAGTTTTATGGATACACATTTTCTCTGAACCAAAAGGCCTTTGCCCCCCATCTGGATGCCTTTCAGCACGATGCTGGCCTTCCAAGTGCTATTTTGCTGGAATACCTCCCGAACGCCTTGTTAATGAACTGTGTCACGTACAGCAAAGAGCGAATGGCCAAGGCAGTCAATGGCATCCAACAGATCCATTCAGCTTTGGTTGAACACAATGATCCATATCCCAAGAACATTATGATTGTTCCTGGTGACCCAGAAAGAGTTGTGTGGATAGATTTTGATGTTGCGATCACTTATCCCGACATCACTTATGTCAGAGAGAGAGAACGTAACTGGTTCAAGTTTGAAACCAAATGCGTTGAGAGTGTTGGAGTGAAATTTGTTGGTGTCTCAAAAAAATTTCCCTGCTTATTTCCTTGTCACTGATAGGTTTTACAGGCAGATGATCAGAAACAAGGCCTCCCACCAAACACAAAATATTACTAGGCTGGTTATCACTTGACGTCCCAAGCATGTTGCGCAATTGCATTTCCTGCTTCGTTCTACAGCTGCCAGTCATCATCCGCAGCCCCCAACATCCCAAGATACCAAAGCCCGAGAAGAATGGTCAAACGTCCAGGCCCTGCTGCTGCCCATGGTATGGCCTGTGCTACCAACAGGTTGCCATTTGAATCGAGTCTCTTAATAGGGACCAGCTCAGTATCAGTTAGGACAAAGCCATACCGCGCGTTGTGCTGTTTCATGTAATAGTTGACCTGGGACAAGACCTGAAAATACTCTCTGCGGGCTATATCGGCTGCTGCCCAGTCAGATCCCCATTTCCATGACACCTTCAGGTCTCCTGGGCAGCGATTGGGAGAGGAGTTGAGTGTACTGCCAGCTCGGAAAAACGCAATATCAGGTCGGAAGTTGTTGATAATCTGAGCTGCATCGCCTATGTCGACTGTGATGGGAGTAAGACGCAGATTGGCAAGCTGAGGTGCCATATGCTGGAAACCAGCTCGCAGCGCGCGGCGTAATCGACTTTGGACATAGGTTGTAAAACGGACTGCGAACATCAGCTCAGTGTTTATAGGTTTTGGAGGAGAGTTTGGCATCAGTTCTCTTGCTATTTGGGTTTGCTGAAGCAAGGTCCCGTAACGCTGAATGATATGGGCGTAGGTGAATTCGGACCATTGATTAATGCTGTTGATCTGCCTCCAATTATATTGCTCATTTGTTGTATTAGGTGTTTTGTTCGTTTCTTCGGTAGGGAGGCCCGGGGGCGCCACCATCAGATAATCCAAGAGTCTTTGCGTGTTGGCCATGATTGCTTTTGCTCTCATAGAATAATCACTATGGGAGGCAAAGTGTCTCTTTCTGTGGAAGATCACAGTGCTTTATCAGCCAAACCAAGGGGCTTACCCTGCCTTCTTTGACAGCCCCTTTTGCGTGTTGCCAGGTCTTCCTGCACAATGCCCAAAGAGGAAGGCATTCCTGCGCTGACATCATATCCTCCAGCCAATGAGTTTAGGCCACTCTCCGGGACTTGTTGTATGTTCAATCAGATTACAAAAATCATAAGCCAGGTTAAATTACTACATAATATGCAATTAAGTGCATAATCACTTCAGTCAGTTAATCCGCTTCTCCTGCGTACTGCTTGGCCTAATCACTGTTTGCCACGTGACTCCTGCCTCTAAGCTTAATTAACTAGTTAAGAGGCCAACTAAATTAACTCATGGCAGATGCGAGTGCGGAAGGGAGGCTCAGTCGGTGAGACATATCCTGATTAGCTGCCCAAAATTCCGTCAGCTCAGAGAGGACATCATATGGAAAGAGGAAAGAAGGACCACAGACCTGAGAATAATGCTCTCACAGCAAAAGTACAGCATCAGAGCAGCCAGATTCATGATGGAGACTGGACTTCTTGGGCAATTCTGGCATATCAACACGGAGCCAGCAGAGAGTGATCCAGGACAAATAGATGCAGCAGCAGAGATGCGCAGCATCCTGGATGCACCAGCTAAATGGCATTGAGGGGTCTATCTATATTTTCTATATACATACCATTTCTTGCTTTTTTGACGTTATGGTGGTTGGGATGGAAAACCTGTATGTTAGCTGTGTTTGTTTCCAGCCCCTTTGGGGTATGGAAACTCTGATTCTACACTAATCCCTTTTGAGGATCTGTTGCATGCGCATGTGCAATGATCTTGCAAGACCAAATATAATGAGTGTATATTGTGTATTGCCTATATTGTGTGTAAAACTAGGGCGGAGATTGAACATCTCAAGGGGGTGAAATCTCTACAAGACACTAAACCTAATGTAGACTGGAGAAACTAAGCACTGTGTTCAACATATCCTCCCAGCTTGAAGAGCTGCAAATAGGCGCCAGGAGGCCGGGCTAAGGGGTCAGGTGCACAGTCAAATTAGGTCCAAGACACTAAGAAGGCTAGAGCAGCGTGCACCAGGTGAGACCCAGTAACTGCACAAAGCACTGATGCTTCTGGTAGCCAAGGGGTTTGGTCAGGCTGTCAGCGGGCATGGACAGTGTACTGATCCAACTAATGTCCAAAGATCCATCCTGAACACATTCCTGCAGCCAGTGTTGATGAATATCAACATGCTTGAGTTTTGTAGAAATGCTAGGCTTAGTTTTGGTGCAAATTCCTGCAGCCATTTGGTTGTCAGTTTGTAGGCTGAGGCAGTGCCCAGGATTGAAGCCAAGTTGCTTGAAAAATTGTTGCCACCAGTAGACCTGTGTGCCAGTGTGGCTCAGGGCTAGTAGCCCAGCTTCAGTTGTAGATGTAGTAACTGTGTCTTGATGAATAGCTTGCCATTCAACTGGGCCGCCAAATAGTTTGAATAAGTAGCCTTCTGAGCTGTGGTGAGTGTTCAAATCATCTGCAAAAGCAGTGTCGCTGAAGCCTTCAATTATTGAATTTGTAGTGTATGAGGCTTTTGAGTTGTGCCAGAGTCTGTTGAGAGGCCATCATAAATCAGTGAGAGATCCTTTGTGTCCCTAAGATAGCAAATAACTTGATCAACCTCAGTTAAGTGAAAGGGTGAAGGGTTTTGCATAAAGTGAGCAAGCAGGCTCGCAGCCTGTGCAATGCCATGTAGGCTGGATACATTATAGAGCCAATGTGATGTTAGAAGGTCTTTATTTCTTCAGTAGTAGCCTTGCCTTTGTAAGGTGTGTAGGTGGAGGCAGAGTCTTTAGACAAGGGGGTGTAAATGTGCGGTCTGTCACTAAGGCTGTAGTCCTTGATAATCTTATTGATATATGAGTCCTGGGTGAGGTAAACCTTTTGATTTGCATGGTCCCTAGTAATGTGGATACCAAGGAACCATTTAAGATCTCCCATATTGTGGAATTTGTGTGTTTTCTTCAGCAGTTCCTTTTGGTGTTCTTTGCAGTTCAGAATAACAATGTCGTTGACATAGAAGAAGACAATAATTCAACCATTTGTTAGCAGGCAATGGTCCTCAGGGACTGGTGTAAAACCAAAGGACTTGAGCGTGGTAGGCCATAAAGTGGGTGTAGAAGCTTCCATGCTTTGTTGTATTTATAGAAGCCTTGAGGTTGGTAGCAAATGTATTGTTTGTCCTCCTCAAGCATGCCATTCAAAAAGGTGTTGACACCATCCATATGGCGCGCATCCAGGTCAAAATAAGCCATGATTGCTAGTAGGGCTCTTGCTGTACGAGCTGCAAGCGTATCTGATGCCGTTTCTTTGCCATTATCAGGCACTTGATCTCCTCAGACGACAAGATATGCTTTGAACTTGAGAAGAAAGCCATTGTCATTGATTTTGTAGGTAAACACCCACATCATTGGCACAAGCTTCTTGCCATACGGTATGTCAATCTCTTCAATATTGCCTTGATTCTTTATCTTTTGCACTTCAATGTCAGCTACAGCCTTGAAGTATTCTCTGTATGGGTGGTTGAGCATGTCATTCCAGTTTCAAGGCTCTGCTGGCAGGTTGTTGTGGTGAAGTTGCTAAGTAGTAAGATCTGCTGTTGTGGTAAATGCTGCCTTGCAGGCTCCACATTGAGCTCATGTCATGAATCACAATACAGCAGCACTGAGGCTGTGCATTCTCACTGGCTGCTGAGATTGTGCCATCCAAAACCATGTTTCCCCTCAACCAGCTGAGGATGGAACATACTGCCCTTAGTAGTTCTCATCATGATTGGGACACAATGCATACCAGTGTCTCAAGTGCAATGGGGTAGAGTATTTGCTGCAATGAGGCATTTTCATCATTGGCTATCACAATTGCCAGCATGCTGTGAGTAAGCAGGGGACTCATCAGTCACCACAGATCCACAGTTGCGGATAGGACTAAGGATGACAGGTCCTGATGTGCTGAGAGAGAAAGCAATCAGAAATTTCAGTAACAAATTCATCTTTGGAGCTTGCTAACACTGGATAAAAGTCAATAAATCAAAGTCATAGAAAAAGAATCTTGACAGAAGAAGGAAAAATCAGTCAGCCATGCCAGGCAAAGCTTGTAATTCAGAAAGCAGCAGGATGACAGACAGTGGAAAGCAGGAAGTGAAAGCAATAGCTGGAGCTGTCTGCAGCACAGCTGTTCCATGTAAAACTGAGAGTGGGGGCCAAGAAGACAGATGCAGAGAAATCTGTGACAAAAGAGAGAAAAATAAGGACAAAGAAGGAGGAGGATCAAGTGGCAGGAAGAAGGCAGTTTATATAGTCATTGAAGCAGCGATATGGCGCTTTACCCGATTTGGGTGGCGCTAAACCCTGTGGGGCAACCCCCCATGGTACGGTATACCTAGGTACGGATCGGGAGCAACGAAGCTCAATGTTTGTCAAAGGCAGAGAAATTCGACGAAAACATCAGCATCTTCCTTTGGGATAGCCGTGGACTGCAAGAATATGGATCCTTCTTCCGGTCAGCGAGTTTAGTAATCCGATGCCGGAGCTATTCGATCTTTGTCAGTCCTACTCGGACGACCTGTTCTTCGATTTTTTACAAAACACGCCGGATTTGAAAAATTTCTCTGATCTCAGCATGCCTTGCCATGGTAAGTGTCCAATCTATAGAATTGTGATTTGGATTCTTTGTTGCGCAGCCGCCTGTGATAGAGATTCCACTACTCATATCTACGTTCGTTATCCGCATGGGCCGGACATTCTGGGCTAAAAGCATGTTTACAAAACTGAAATGACCACTGCTTCAAAGCAAGTATCACTGCAAATCAGGTAGAACACATGGCCTCATGGCGTTTGAGTGGGTGTCACGAGGCCGCGATATACACCACAACTCGTAAACTATGCCAGTGACGCGGCGAAAGGTGTATCGGCCGTGGTACAAGGTTTCGGCTGTCCCTGGACCATCTTCTGCCAGGACTTGTTTTACGATGGTAGTTGGTCTTCCGCAGCGTGGGCCTGAAATGGAGGGACGGAGTACTAAACCAGGGGTGTTGGCTGGGCTTCCCCGCATTTAAGCCAACCAGTGGCCGACGGCGAGCTCCCATCGCATGTCGGAGCGCAGTCCGAACCTCCTCATGAACATGGACATGTGGCTCATCCAATTGCAAACCCAAGTCATTGAGCAGGTTGACCGTTGGATTTGCTGGCACTCCTGCAAAGCTACGCCTTAGTGAACCTGATAGGCCAATTGCTAACATATCCTTCCTGGCTGGCACTTGGACCAACGGCACGCGTCAAATGCAAAATACATTGCTATTCGGCCGTGATGCCCTGCATGTGTCTCGAAGGTCGCCACGTCATATCACATTGATGTACGGAGAACAGTTCATCTCTTAAGAAAAGAAGTCATATTCAAGCCGGAGGCCCCACCGGATGGTCCAAGATGTCGAACTCTTCTCTTGATCCGGGTCACAGACAATGGCACGCCTTGGCGCTATCGCGGAAAATATAGCCCTGCTGGCATTGTTAAATCCGAAGGAGCCAGTTCTGGAAAACCCCATCCCATCTAAATTCATTGATGATGGCCGTGCGTCGCATTTCATATTGTCATTCGAGGACGAGCGGCGAACAGCAGAGGCATTTGCCATTTTATTGTCAAACACAGATAATCCTCGGAAGGTGGGCGCTGTTTGCGTCGAGCAGTCGCTCGATGGACACAGCCTTACCATTCGGACTGCTGTAAATGCGGGACCCCAGACAGATCGAAAAGATGCATTCGCCAGAATAACCAGTGCTTTGAGGAAGGCCTCATGTTCAGGTTTGTTGGTGAAGACTGAAATATATTCATCACTAATGGTGGTGTAGAGCCCCTGAAAAAGCAAGAAGATGTGCTGCTGAACGAGATCATCGGCGCTTGCCAATTGCGATTACTTGGTCGTCTCCGATCGCGTCATGCGAAGTCCTCGCGACAATCGGGAAGAGTGCCATTTATACACAAGCTTCGTGATAACCTGAAACTGCTGGACTGGGACCAAAACCCTCCTAAAGATATTGACTTCTATTGGCAGCAAGTCGATTCTTTGATAGATTTGTTTGGCGATCTTGAAAGCCTTCCACCTCGTGATGCAAGATCAGAATCAGGGAGGGCAATCCTTAACGATATCATACGTCGTGTTGGGCGGGTACTTCGTCCTATTGATACCAGGTCAATTTTGAACAACCCCAGTCATCCCAGGTACGACATGATCAGGAGCCTCAATAAACTTCATCAGTATCGCCATGCGGCACGGTACCTCTTATCAGCGGCCCGGAAATTCCATGCTTTCCATGACTTACGCATAGAAGAGGTCAAGCCTTTTGGTGAGAGCAAGACTGGTGCCGAGTCGTTATCTGTTCGTCGAGGCCTCTTTAGTCGTTCTCTTACTTCGCGTAGACAGAAGAATTTTGTGCGTTTGGTTCAAGAGCAATCGGGGAAAAGTTTAAGTCAAATTGAACAAGAACTGCAGAAGCATCCCGAGCTGGACAAACGAGTGCACGCCGAAATTCAGCTGCTGTTTCATTACGAATGTCAAATGAATACGGTCACTCAACCCCGGGTTATCGTATCCACTAAACAGGCATGCTTGTTGTGCGATTTGTTGATAAAAACCCACGGGGGCTTTTATACGCCTAGCTCCCATGGGACTCTCTACCCGCGGTGGAGGATTCCCCGATCTGATGAAGTGAGTTTTCCGACACCTGCGAAAGCTCGAATGGTGCAATGTTTGGATCAGTTCAACCGCGCACTTGAAACCAAGATCAAAAAGTTTGCGGCACAAAAATGTGTCATACCCAACGCCCCGGAGAGCGTTATCTTTAGATCATACAATCACTCCACTTCATCTACAGTCCCGACACCGACAACAGCCGGGAAGGGATCTGAAGGAAACCCGGAAGTGCCGATAAATCGCGGTTTTCCCAGCGCACGAACCTCGATAAGATCTCGTGTGTCTTCAATATCGACAAAGCTGCCGGCATCAACGATAGAAGATGACGAAACGAAGTCATCACGGCCACTTAGATCTCCAGTTCAGTCTGATACAACACCTTGTCCTTGCCCGCCAAAACCAAAGCGTGCTCTTTCCCTTTCATCTTCCCAGACCTATGCGCAAAGTGCGCTAAAACAGCCGAGAATTCTAACCCGCGGAGTCCCTACGACTTACACCATGTCACCCGGATCTGTAGCCCAGTTCCAGGCCCCACGAATCCATCTAGACTTATCGTACGAGCAAGCTTGCGCCTTGGAGGGCTCTTCGCTCTCCCCCTCCTGCACCTCCGCAAGGAGTGCTCTGATCCCGAGCACTGCTGAAGCCCATGAGGATCTGACACTGCAGGTCGAGTGGTTAGACGCAGAGAATACCAAACTTGGTGGATTGCTGGAAAGGATTGTCGACATTGCATTCCCGTGGGCAAGGAAGAGGAGGAAAATTGCTGATGGGGCTCTGTTCAAAGGGCATGGCTTGGTGTTTGTGAATAAAGACAACGCTGTTTCTCTGAAGGCTATTGGTCCAGGGTAGCCATTTCTACGAAGCATCATATTCTCGGTGGATTTTTTTTATACTTCTTGATCTGTATGAAATATTAATACAGAATCTAATACATTGCAATTGGATGATGTCCGGCCCCAGACATTCCGGTCGTCATAAACCAATTTAATCATCGCATAAAAAGGCCTTGCAAGCGATCAAAATGCCCACCAAAATGTAACCCAACCAATATGTCAGCCTGCTGATGACATGTTCATCTGGAAATCATTCAATCACATGCACTCACTTACTCTCAACAGCCTTCTCAACTCACCACCATGCTTATTTACCAGGTCCTCGAAAGGTCCCTCCTCAACCACTTCCCCCTTATCAACTACTACCACCCTGTCTGCCACCTGCATCATCTCCTTCGCATGGGTAATAATAACCACTGTTAAGCCACCACCGCGTCGGCCATCCCGCGCCCTCATCAACCTACTCACCGTGCGTTTAATAGCTGCCGCACTCTCAACGTCTAAGCTCGATGTGGCCTCATCCAAAATCAAGACTCGCGGCCGACGAATGAGTGCCCTGGCAATAACCAAGCGTTGCGTTTGGCCGCCAGACAAGCCAACACCTCCATCACCGACAATGGTATCGTACCCTGATGGAAGGGAAGAGATAAAATCATCGATCCCAGCTGCCTTAGCGGCAGCACGAACGTTCTCGAGTGTATTGTAGAAATTTGATTCCTCGAGCCCGTAACTGATGTTTTCACGGATGGAAATGGGGAATATCACGGGTCGTTGGGGAACGATGGATATCAGTGAGCGGAGCGTTGGGACGTGAATTTCTCGAAGGTCTAGGCCTCCAAGGGATATTGAACCCTCTTTTTGCCCTAGATGCCTAATTCTCCTAGTCTTGATGGGGTAAAGTGCGAGAACAAGGGATGCGATGGTGGACTTGCCCGAACCAGAGCGACCTACAATGGCTGTGCAGGTGTTTTCATTGATGGTCAGGTTGAAGTTGTGCAAAACGAGTTTGTCTGGCTGGGCTGGATAGCTGAAATTAACAGCAGTGAATTTGATGGGTACCGGATGTAGGATACGCAGATGGCCTTCGTGCTCATGAGACCGATCGCTCGGTAGCCCTGCGAGCTGCAAAACCTGAGTGGCACTATCTCTAGAAGAGCTGATCTGTGGAACTAGCAGAGAATGTTGGTATTGAGTTGGAGATCGTATGCAAGAATTTAGCTCTTACCAAGGGAAAGGACCGCTTTAACATTGGCCATGCTAAACAGCAACATAGAAAAGACAGTCAAGATTGCCTTTGTGGAGTACTGCATCGAAGAAACCAATAATGCCCCATAGTAAAATACAAGAGCTGCATGAAACTGTTAGAGCCTGTAGTGAACTGCAAAGAGCTTTGCCACATACCGTAGACAAATACGATAGATGACTCTGACAAGCCAAACATGAAGCCCGTATAGCACCCTCTCTTTATCCCTATAGCTAGAGTCTCCAAGTTTGCAAGAAAATGCTTTCTGTGGAAGTAGGACTCCAGAGTGAGGGATCGAACGTTGCGAATATCCAAGAACGTCTCGGAGAATATACCCGACACGACCTCTGCTGCATTGTTACAGCGAGCTTCCCAATACCCGCTTACTTTCTCAAACACTCTTGTAAGCGCATAAAGGACCGGCGCACATGCGCAGCCAACCAAAGTTAGTCTCCAACATAGTGCCAGACCCCATACTGTGCCCATCACCATCATCACGGCAGCAACAAACATAAAGCCAGAGAATCTCCCCACAAGATTTCTCATTTCCTCGGCATTACGATCTAAACAATTAACTAAGCTTGAAGCATTGTTAGGACAATTCTCAAACCAAGTTTTAGGCTGTTGGACGATCCGACTGATTGCTTGGTGACGCAATCGATCGACCCAAGCATGCCCGCAACGTTCCAAAAGGTAGTGCAGCCAGAAGGACGCAATACCATTTGCAATCGACACGCCAAGGATGCCCAGTGCATAACGTAGAGCAGCTGGAAGACGGTCTTCAGTCAGGTAGAATGTGCTGAGCAACTGAGAGAATAGAAAAGCAAATACCGGGGTGGCAGCAGCGTGAAAGAACGCAGCGATGAACCCCAATGTCAACAGAATATTTTCTGTCTTGGATAAAGAAGGCACAACAGTACGCAAGGTTTGGAATAGGGAACCTTGTTGATGAATGGACGGTGACGCCTCTGATATTGAAGCTTGATACCTAAGCTGCTCAACCTCTGAATGCTTGCTCAAAGGCGATAGTGCCGCGAATCTGGTGCCAAGTTCCCCTGAATGGGACATTGAACTTTGGAAATGGGCCGACGGTTCGAGCGAATGACTTGGGCTAGGCTGATTTGAAGATAAATGATAGCGCGACTGACGAAATACTGGGGAGTAAGACACCGGGGAAAAGACAAGACGGGAGCAATTATTGACTGAATAGTCTGGGCTCATTGGCCGGGGTAGAAAGCTCGGAGGCCTTTGGGCATCTGGATAGCCAACAAACGATACGGGACCTGACGTAATATCGCCCACTTCGCTGGACTTGATCCTAGCGCGTTTTGGCGAAGGAATGATAATGGGCTGATGTTGACTATCGAGCCCTGTCTTATATCCTTGACAAGATATTCTTCCATTATCCACGACATAGACAAAGTCTTGCTCGTCTATCTGAGATAGATCATGCGTGATAATAACTGTAGTCTTTCCTTTTCTCCATTTCCGAAGGGAGTCCATAATGGCTATTCGTGTATAATAGTCCAAGGCGCTTGTTGATTCATCCATGATAAGAATAGGCGTATCCCTCAGATGCGACCTGGCTAAAGCTACCCGCTGTCGCTGTCCGCCACTAAGGCGGTCACCGCCCAGCCCAACCACGGTATCAAGGCCGTTAGGCATGGACTGGACAGTTTCTTTCAAGTGCGCAAAAGAGACGCAGCCGACAATATCATCCAGCCTAACACCGACAGGGTCTTGAGCACCGAAAGCGATATTTCTAATGATTGATTCGTTGAAGAGCGGGCTTTGTTGCTGCACCAAAGTGATATTGTTCCGAATCCAGTTGATGTCCAAAGAATGAATTGGAACACCGTCAATCAATATTTCCCCAGAAGCGGGAGCATAAAACCTCAACAATAGATTTCCTAGGGTGCTTTTCCCTGATCCACTCCTCCCAACGACAAAAGTGATATTGCCAGCGGGAAAGAAGAAGGAGCAGCGGTTCAAAACCAAGCGATCGGGTTGAGATGGATACGCAAAGGTGACCTCAAAGGAGTCAACATGTGCCTTGGAAAGCGGAATCGAAACTTACATTGTCGAATTTTATGTCCCCATCGCAAAATTGCGGAGTTTTGTTCTCGCTCATCAATCCACTCGAACCGTTGATCGGGTGCACATGGCCAAGAATGTCCTTGAGGGCTGTCGCCGCGGCCCTTCCCTTTTCAAGGACAAGCAGCTGAGGAATGATATTCTCGATTGACTGCGTGGCTTGGAGGCATGCCCAGAATGTGGTTAAGACTTGTCCTGGATTCAACTTTCCGACTGAAACAAGATAGGCTCCATACCAAAAGCCCTGAACGAACATTCCAAACGTTAACATGTGGATAGATCCTATTTCGATAGCAGTAAATCGTACTTGTTTGAGGTAGTGACGGGCAGCCGCGCGAATTGCAGACATATAATTTTCTATTTCCAGGGCCTGTCCATTCATTACTTTAACGATGTCGATCGAGTAAACAGCGTTGCTGGAAAATTTAGAGGCTCTATCCAATTCTTGCCGCTGTGCTTTGATCTCCGGCTGTATTTTCATCGAGATTACGGATATGACCACAGCACAGACAGGAACCGTGGCAAGGGAGATAAGAGTGAGGCTCCATGAGATATAAAGCGCCAGTATGAGGCCAGTGAGAGACGCGACCATGCCCTGGAATACAGAGCCCAAAGGCTGAGAAACTGCCAACTGGAAATCTCGCATGTGTCTAGAAAAGTTATCAGCTTAAAGTTGTCATTCAATCAATTTGGCACAAGGTCGCTTACGATTGAATGCGTGGTAGAAGCGCAGTGACTCCATCTGTAGTCAAATCAAACCATTTTGTTTCCTTAGCGAGCAATTCTTTGAAAAGCTCGTCGCGAGCTCTCTTTACCTGCAATTCTCCAAAAACAATCCATAAAGAAAGATAGGCAGACTGGATAAACCAAATGGAGAGTCCCAAGGCAAACAGGAATATGCAATTGACGGAGATTGCATCCATCAGCTGTGCTGTGGCGATCGAATGGGCGCCAAAATTCGTAAGCTCATTGAAGATGCGACCAAGTATGATTGCAAGAAGAGGAAATGTGAGTCCACTCGCGAGGGCAAATATCACTGCTGCAAGGAAGGGTATGATATGCCTCCTTGTTGTGAAGTAAAATAACGACATCCATGTCCTCTCCGGTCCTGGGTCGCAAACAGAAACTGTTTCTGCTAACATCTCTCCTGCCAATGTTTCTGAAGCCATGGAAATGCTTGATGCCAGTGGACTGTCTCCAGAAATCAGATATCATTGTTCGGGTTTAAGCTAATTTGAAGAGGAAAGGAAGGTAAGAACATGCGACGGTTAGCCTTTCTGCTCGTGAGCGTGGGATTCAACACAATAGATCCCGGATGGATATGAGAATAGATTGGTGGAGAGTGAAGATAATGATCCCAGAGACATGGCGGAATGTATGTCAATAGGAGTTCTTGGAGGCTCTCTTGCTATTGTTCTTGTATATTGTTCCAAAGCACCACAGTAACAAAGAAACGCCGTCAGAAGCGATAGATATGTACGGAGTCAGCCATATGGAGGACATATATGCATTTTCCCATCAAAACCGAAAAACTAATCCAATGGAAACTTCTTATCTCCAAGAAATGGCGCAAAGCCATTTTTGGCGCTCGGTGCATGGCGAGCTGTTTGGCAAGATGATAGGTTGGCGCAACAGGCCCATGCTTCAATCCCTCTTTTAGTCCACGGGAATTCTCAAGAAAAAGAGGGGGCGTCTGCAACGGTGTCACTGGCTTACACCTAGCCTCGACAAACGTCGATCTCACGCGTCCAGCTGCAGCCTCTCGCAACGAGCCTTTCAAAGTGATATCACCGTGTCAGCGATGCCAGACGGTATTTGTTTTCGCCCTGGGGCAGGTTTTGTGTTAGGTAATCCAACCAGCACCTCGCTCACGTGACCCACATAGATTAGCCGAGATTCCCCTTTAGGTAGCTTAGTGAATGACAAGCATACAAGTCCTCCATTAGGTTATAGCTCTTTGTGCTGAAGAGCAAGTGTATAAGATTGATTTACAGCTTAATTGGATATTGAAGCTTATGATCAACATCCTGAATAATTATTCTTATGAATAATGAGGTTTTACAAGCACAAGAGAGAGTATATATTAAGATAAATGTCTTCTATATATACAATTTCTGTAGCTTTCTAGCACTGAGCTGAAGAGTAAGTTAAACTCTGTAGCTTTCTGACACATAATCAGAGAGTGAGTAAAATGTCTGCTAAATACATCTAGCAAGCAAATTGAGCATCTGATAACACTAAAGTCATAATAAACTTTACAGATAAATCAGAGCACTGAACTTCTGATCAGAAGACTTTAATAAATCTCTCTATATTTCAAACTGAGCTTAGATAATTAAGTAGGCTTAGAGACAGTCTGCCAAATGACAAGCAGAAGTCTAGAGAGAAGAGTGAACTTCAAATATTATATAGAATGATACTGAATCAACAGAAGATAATGCAAAAGCAATAAAAATTAATATAAAGATAACAGAAGATAGTACAACAGCTGGCACAGCAAGTAAATCTTCTATTAGATCAAGCAAGCACTATAAATGCATCTGCAACAATGCAGAAGAATCTAGAGCATGAAGCTTAACAAGAAGAAGAAGAGAACTAAGAAATAAACTCTGATAAGAAACTAGAAGAATATATCAGTAATTTTATAAACATAAATATATGAATCAGCAGAGCAATTACTTAATTCATAAAGATTATAAAGATAGTAAAGAAGTCTATAACTCTAACTAAAGTCAGTAACTATCTAGTATAAAGTAAAGTCATTCTAAAGATAGTCTGTTAAGTAGATGTTGAGAAGATTATTCTGGAAAGACAAGAGACTTTATTATGACTAAAGTACTTGAAGATTTTACAATACTAAAATATTCAGAATAATTAGCTATACAGTCTAATTAACAGTACAATATCTACACAAGTCAGAGAATACTTTGAGAAATTAAATAGTCTTAGTGTCTACAAACTCTGGAAAGCTGTAAGAACAGACTTTCAAGAAAGATCTGAGATATAGTGAAAAAGCCTACTTATAAAGTTAGTAAGAATGACATCACAATCTGCTGACTCAGAAAGAAATTATATAGAGAGATTTCTAGCAATCTGTAGAAAATTTGAGAGATTAGAGTTTAAACAACTGAATCATACTCTATATAATATCTTGAAGATAAATATTATGTTCTGATGGAGAGAGTTCATACAGAACTAATTTAATATGACATGCCAGAGTGAAATAAATCTATCAGAGAAGAATCTGAAAAGTCTACTAAAGAATATTCTTTACCAAATCTTCAAGAAAGATTAAAAGAAAGACAGATCTATAAAGCTAAATACAAATATAACAAGCTTAAATTCTTAAAAGTCTTACAAAAATATGAACTTCAAATCTAATTCAGAGAAGAGCTCACTGCAGAACTGGAACTGCTATATTTATGGCAAATCTGATTATTTGACTAAATTTTGCAAATCTAATAAGAATTTGAAGCCTAACAAGTCTAAGAAAGACTTTAAAGACAAAGATAAGAAAACAACTATAATTATAATAAACAAGATTCATTTGATTTATAAAGCAGTCTTTTCTACAAGAGAAGTATATGAATCTACAGACAAATAAATTCTTGACTCTTAAGCTAGATTCCATACAATCTCATGTATAGATCTAGTTCAAATAGACTCAAAGAGCTATACAACATAACTGCTTATAATAAACAGTTCAAAATCAGTCATTAGAGAATTTGGCACAGCCAGCATCCAAACTGACAATAATGAATTAAGCATTGAGAGGGTTAGAATCATGCCTGACCTCTAGGTTAATCTCATAAGCTTTGAGAAGCTTATACAAGACAGCTTTACAGTGAAATAGCTTTATGTTAACAGAGAACACATCTTTTTACTAAAATCAGCAGATAAAATACAGAGCTTCAAAGTTATGCTTGATAAGAATGATATTCTAGTTCTATAAATGTGTTACAAATGTAGACCTAGACCAACCAAGCATCAGATGACATCAGATGTTCAGGGGTATTCACATGACCCCAATGCTGAATGTATAAGGATCACATGATTTGCATGGATTGTGGGAACCCCAGCATTCAGTCTCTGAGTGAGGGAACCCCTACATTTTATACATAACTCTCTCTCATCAGTTGTGAGCATTGTACCTACTTAGCTCTTTCATACCCCTAATTCTGGGAAAATCTATATGATTTATAACCAGTTCATCTAACATTCTGAATGCTCTGACATACAATTGCCTAAGTTAGTACAATGCCATCAAGACCCATAAGATAAACCACAGCAACACCCCACATTGTGGACCTGACAGAGGTAGACACCAATATGAAGGAGATGAACATTAATGAAGGTGCTGGTAGCAGTGGAGCCATCATCAGCAAGACACCAGCAGACAATATGGGCAACAGAGATACACTTCTCAATACATTGAATGAAATCTGAAGAGAGAAGATCTTTAAAGAAAAGAAGACATATCTGCAAAAGAATCTAGCAGATATACATGAACAAAATGAGATATGCAGACTGCAGAAGCAGATAGAATACAAACAGAGAATAGTAAATAATAATTTTTCTTTAGAGTTCCCCTTACACACAAGACTGATAGAGAAGTCAGATGATTTTGATGATGTAAAGCTATCAAAAGCACCTTACTACTATAGCAAATCACTTGGTGAGTGCAAATTATAGTTAGCTTTAATAAGACAGCAGTTTTGCCTGAGGAAATCATTATGAAAGGCACCAGATGTGGTCAGAATTGATTGGGTGTCTAGCTATTTTTGTAACAAACCTCAGATGCATTGGCAGATGTTGAGAATAGAGAGAGAACAACTACTCATGTCATGGAATGAATTTGAGATGTGGTGTAAGAATGACATTGAATCTGAGATAACTTGTAGTTGAGGCATGATGCAGCATTATCATAATGCTGTCCAATGAGAGAACCAACCCATACTCTTATTTTTTATGTACATTGCTGAACTTGAACAGAATCTGGACAGTTTACCAGATGAATTCTTTCATGTACTCTTTCTACAGATGAAGCTCAGATTAATTATCCAGACTGAACTAGATAAACTACAACATCAATCAAAAATAATTGCAGAATTATGAGAACAAGTGATGCTTATTGAGTTTATTCTAGGAAAGAAGAAGCAAAGTCAGTAGAACAAGAATCAAAATAAGAAGAAATGAAAAATCTCAATCTCTCAAGAGAAAGATGTGTCCCAACAAGACAATAAAGAAGATTATTCATGAATGAAGAAGATGCTGATGAAACTACTTCCAAAAATATCAGAAGAGAAACACAAACAGCAAATGAATGAAGAGCTCTGTCTAAGATGTGGCCAATCAGACCATAGAGCAAAGTTCTGTACAAATGGCTATAACAAGTCCCAGTGGACAGACAAAAAGAATGAGAATTGGGTGAAGGCTAGAGCTACAAAGCCCATGCAAGACCCAGGTCAAATATTAGAAAGACAGGATGTTAACCCAATAAAGAAGGCAAGCAGGCACAGTATGTGTCTGTTGGCCACACTGGCTATACTGTCAGATGATCTTATGGAGCAAGCTGCACTGCTGGACTCAGATACCACAGTGGACAGTATCTTCTATAAACTGGTGTCCCAATTGGACTGGGATCAACCAGAGATGCCTATGAGAGTCATTGAGATGTTGAATGGAGCTGAGGCTGATTGGTATAGTATCTACAAGGCCCAACTCACTATAATAGACTCCATGGGGACCACAAAGGTGGTAAAATGTATGTTTGTGGTGATTGACATGGTTGATATGAATATAGTTCTAGACATGCTGTGGTTAGAAGATTTCAACCTGGATATAGACTGGAAGAACAAGATGTAGTGTTACTGATTCTCAGAGAAAACAGTGGAACTTCTGAATACAGATAGATTTCTCTGAGTAGTGTGTATCAAGAACAAACCCTCTTATGTTATTTTTGTGTCAGATGATAACCAAGTCCTGACAGAAGTATCTGAGTGGTTGAGGAACTATAAAAATGTTTTCTCAGAAGAAAAAGTGGCAGAGTTGCTGGAATTAATGAAGATCAGTCATCTGATTATCCTTAAAAATGGCTGTAAGCCCCTGTACATGTCAATCTATGAACTATTGCTCAAGCAGATGGAGGTCCTATGAGAGTACATCAAGAACAAGTTATGCAAGAGTTGGATATATCTGTTATAAAGTCTGGCAGGGGCTCCAGTATTGTTTGTACTCAAAGCTGATGGAGAACTCAGGCTCTGTGTTGATTATTGTGGTCTTAATGCAATCATGGTGAAGGACTGTTACCCCTTGCTGTTGATAGATGAGATGTTAAGCTGGTTGGCAGGAGCATGCTACTTTTCCAAAATAGATCTATGTGATACCTACCACTGGATTAGAATCAAAGAAGAAGATGAATGGAAGATCATAT